GTACCTCCACTCCCTTCCCAAGACTGCTGCAACCCTCATCTAATGTCCGATCAAAACCAAACTTGGCACACAGAGCCCCCATGACCCACTCTACATCCTGCTGCAGTTTTGGAGGAGGGTTGACCATAGATGATGGGACTTTCTGTACCTTCACTCACATTCTGAGACCTCTGCGAACCTCATCCAATGACTGAGCAAGACCAAACTTGCCACATAGACCTCTCATGACCCATTTTACATCCTGGTGTCATTTGGAAAATTTTGGAGATGGATGATGGGACTTGCAGTAACTTCATTCACTTTCTGAGACCACTGAGACCCTCGCCAATGACTAATCAAGACCAAACTTGGCACACAGAACCCCAATGACTCTACATCTTGGTGCAGTTTGGAGGAGGACAGACCATGGATGATGGGACTTCAAGTACCTCCACTCCCTTCCCAAGATTGCTGCAACCCTCATCGAATGACCAATCTAGACCAAACTTGGCACACAGAGCCCCCATGACCCACTCTACATCCTGCTGCAGTTTTGGAGGAGGGTTGACCATGGATGATGGGACTTGCAGAACCTTCACTCACTTACTGAAACCACTACCACCCTCATCCAATGGCTGATAAAGACCAAACTTGGCACACAGAGCCCCCATGACCCACTCTATATCCTGCTTCTGTTTGGAGGAGGGTGGACCATGGATGATGGCACTTCAAGTACCTTCACTCACTTCCTGAAAACAATGCAGCCATTATCCAATGACCAATAAAGACCAAACTTGGCATACAGAACCGCCATTACCCACTTTCTCTCATAACCCAGGCAGCGCCGGGACCCCAAGCTAGTCTTTAATAAAAAGCACCCCTAATCTGTTCTATGGGGCACACACACACACATACACAAACCTTCTGCAGAGCAGAATCAGCTACATGGTTGCTTTCCTCAGCCCTTCTTGCATTTAAGAATTTGAAACTGTTTACTGATGAGATGAAATGGTGGCAGATGTTGACTTAATTACTCTCAAAAGAACACACATTGAAAACTGTGATGTCAATGCTTTATTTTAGTTGCTTTTCTGTCACTGAAAGTTGATCAACCCATTAAAATTAAGAATGGTACAATGCGAACATTTATACAACAGATGAAACACTGGAAATTGTACATAATTTGAAAACACAATCAAAACACCAACATCTGATGCGCAGACACAAATCCCTTTTTAAAATTAGACCTTGTGAAATTAAAAAAAAATCCAGTGGCAGATATTGGCAAGGACCAGGGCACGAGGCTTTTGCTTGATACTGCTCCTACTGTAATTTCCACTGCTGAAAAGTAAATTTTTAGGCATCTCTGTTCAAAGGTAGGTCCCATTAGTAAGACATATTTCTGTAAGAATGTATAGAACTGAAGTTTAATAAACTTGCTGGTTTTTAGAGCTAAGATCTTCTCTTATTGGTAATGAGAAGTGCTGTGCCAAAAAGAGCAAGCAAGACTCGTCTTGCATGTACAATTCTTTGAATCCTGATCCTCACACTGCTCCTCCTAGTTTTAAGACTTTGAATGAATGAATACTCCTAGCAATGTTAAGGATGTATTCAGAGGTATTTTTGATAACTTCTAAGCCTACATTAAAAGGAAATTATATAACAGATCAGACCAGTGACAAATTATTTCTATTCAAGCCACTTAGCTATCCAACTTGGTTGCTGCTGCACCAGCAAACTGGGACAGACTAAGGCATTTTGGTGCCAGAAGAAAAAAAACAGTGCCCCCGTAGTGGTCAAAATAATAAACTAGGTAGTTGATAGTTAGCTGCCTTTTATTGCTGCCACAAACCTGTCTAAAGAAAGCATTCCACCCTAACTGTTAGGCCAGAACTGCCAGAACAGTGTGCTTAAGATGCAGTCAAGTGAGATAACCCAGACAGTTATGCTATCTTCCCATTATGTTTAGGATGGGGCAGTTACAGCATCAGTTAATGCTGTATTGTGTTAGTATAATGTTTTATTTTGTACTGCTCTTTGTAAGAGCTTAGGGTCTTATTATGCTTTAGAAAGTAGCATATTCTTAATACATCTGTGGTTATGAAGTTATGGCCAAAGCTATTCTTAATAATCTTATTATATTACTCTGATGTTCCAGATGTTGTAGATTTCAGTTCAGATTTCAGTTATCAGAATCCTTACCTATTAGACAAAGTGGCTAACTTTTCTGTAAGCCGAAGTCTAAAATATCTGGAGGAAAAAAGTCTAGGAACCACTGAGTTAAATCATAGATTCCCCTGTGGTCAGATAAGTGTTTGCTAGACAGCTTCCTCCCTATTGATCCCTGTCCAGCCATGACCCAATCACACCTACTTCAATCTTAGAACAATTGCTTCCCACTTTCAAGGGTTGCAATCTAGGAGCACTCATCAACGTCATGAAGTCGCTTGAGACTGGATCCAAAGGATAAACAGGGAGGCACAGAGGGAGGGAAGAGTCTAGCAAAGAGTATATAGTCCCTGCTTTCCTATCTGCTCCTTAATGTTTGCCAATTGCTTCACCATATGATGATTTGAACCTATTTGAAATTTAATTCCTTACCTCCGACTCCTGTGCATCACAGCTTTTTAAGAAAAAATTGAATTAGTATTTCCATCATTACAAACATTAGGCTTTTTGTTTTAGAGAGTATTTGTTTTGTTTAGAAAAGATGCCATCTATTTTAATTGGAAGTAGGGACCACTTCTGGTAGATTTTACAGTACAGGCAGCCATCTATACAGAAGTAAGCAGGCACTTTGTTAAAAAAATGCAATTTTTTTCATCTAAATACTTCTTTCCCAAGGGAAGGTCTTAAATTAACCAGTTTGCATGTCAATTTCAGAACGTGTGATGGCTGCTTGCACCAGTTGTGTTAGGATTTGATTGTGACAAATCATTACTTCTTATCTAGGCTACATACATCCTTGTGCAAAAGCTTCTTCATGCATGGTGTCTTTGGAGACACGAATCCAACCTGATAAAGCAATGATTTTTGATTCCAAAATGATGCAGGGAAACATCATAAACGGTTTGTACCCAACCTCTGTGTATTTTGTGTTCCTCTTCCACTAGCCTAACTGCATTTCCACCTGGGAACATAATTTGTATCTTCAAAATAATTTCTAATTGAAGTTTTTTGAAGTCTTACTTAATGATAGAGATAAAATCTTACACTAGAATGTGGCATGCTTGAAACTGGTAGATTACTTCTTTTTGTATAAAAAAGTTGGATCCACATAGCAAAATCCAATGCCATTCCACCTAATACCAGAGATATACAAAGTAACAGCAGAACAGGCTGGAAAACCATTTTTGCATTTTACAGCAATCTGTTTCCAAAAGACACTACAGATTTTGCCACAGAAACAGACTTGGAGGTACCTCAAAACTGTGATGCATTCACTATACCTGCCAGCATTAACATTTTGGCTATTTAAACTCATTGTAATTCAAAGGGGTTTGGCATTAAAGAAAGCTGAAAAGTCCACAATACTAGAACATTATAGACTAAGCTCTACAATACACTCAAAGATCGTATCAGTTTCTAATGCTGCCAGCGCATTGACTAAAACAAAACGAAACCAAATCCCATCCTCAAACCCCATTTCATTTCCCACACCATAATTCCTTCATTAGCAACACTTCATAATTTTAACATCAGTGTACCAACAATATTAATTTAACGGAGAACCCTTCAATTTTCATTAATCGTATCCATCAGAACTACAGCAGCACAATGCAAACAAACAAACAAAAATTATAGAGCAATTACATTTCTTTGATACACAATAACATTAAAAATATACACCTCAGTTTTAACTGGCTAAAATATTCTGCAATTGACAGAACCAGTAGTTCTTTGTACATTTACTTCTCATTAGAATAAAGTCAATGAACTTTCCTGGGAGCGCTCTGCCATAGGAGTACTTCATTTAACAACATAAACCACAGAAAGAGTAAGAAGAGACATCGAACCTGAGTAAAACTCTATGGAAATAGAGGCAACCATTCATTCAGTAAATCAAATATTGCACTTTTAAATAAGTCCTTATCACATACAAGAACATAAAAAATATGAACCAGAACAGTGAAGTCATTCACGTACTCTTACACACACAGTTAAAGCTCAGGTTGGTATATGGACCTCCTCTTCCAATTGCCAAAGTCAGTGGAGGTGACAGCTATCAAGTTTATCAAGTTCAGATAACTGCTGATGATAAAGTGGGCATTCAAAGTTGCCAGTGGGATAGCTGTGATCAGTTGGAGAGGCAATGGCCTGTTATTTATCTTCACTGAATGAAACCAGCATTATTACTCTCCTGTAACTAACTGCTTTGAAACCTGAGGATGCAGAGGTCATGTGTAGTAATGCCGAACTTACTAGAAGCTACACAAGACTGCGTCTCCACATCGTTTGAGCCACCACAAGTAATAGATAACCAGTGCACATTTAGTGGTCCTGCTTTCACAAGTATTGAGACATAATTTATCTGATATGGTCTATCTAGGCCAAACATTCTCTAATTTCAATCATTGCTTTGAAATGAGCGTATTCTAAAAGGCAAAAATAATACTTGCATTCACATTTTAAATGAGTTTGACACCCTGTCATTTCACTTCATCCTCATTTTCCTTCTCTTTTGCCCTCACTGATTTCAGAGTGACCTCTTCTCATGGCTGTTTAACCTGCAGCAATGACTCTCGCATGGTTGTGTTTACAGGCACCTTGGAAATACAGTTATAATAGTCGACTAAAAATTCACAGATCACTACAGTCCATAAGATTAAATGGCAGAAAGAGAAAATGAGGCTGAGGACAAAAATGGAGCTGAGAATGAAAATCAGCTAGAGATAGAAAATGGCATTGAAAGGACATGAACGTGCTTGGACCAAAAGTCGACAAGAAAGAAAAGCGAAAGAAGGAAACATTTTAAAATGAAAATGAAACTTGGAAATGCTTAACTTCAACCATGTTAAAAAAAAAAAAGCTCTGCCCTTGATACAACCAAGATATCACCCAGATGTTATTGGCCTCACATGATCCAGTGAATTTACTCAGTAATAAAGTTTTTGAAGATGAAAGGGTAAATACAATGAATGGTGCATCTTCTTTACTAGGGAAGAACCAGGAAAAGATATTCCACATACAAAACTGATATTAGCCTTATTTAAATGCTCCATTTCAATTGAAAAAATTGATATAAAAATATAGCACTCTGATAATGTTGTATTTAGCAAAATAGCTAGAAAAAAGGCACAATTTCATAATAAAATATCCTATCTGTAAAAGGTTCTGTGTTCTGCTTTTAAAGAGAAAGATCTTACAGTCCCTCTTATGTAGACAGTCATTGGTTGAAGTAACCAATACATGCAAGCTAACATCTCTGGGACACTTAGAAAAGAACCAGTAACCAACACATCTGAGCATGGAATTTTTTAAACTAATTAAAAAGTATTTCTTTTTTAACATATCTCATGATTTCATTGGTATAAGTTCAGTTCACCAATAACACGAGTCTTCTTTAACTTCTTCACAGCAGAACTCCTTTGCAAAATACAGTATATTTTCCCTTTAACACTATATAGAAACCACAGTTCCTACTGGGATTTTTAGGATGTGCATATTCAGGTCCATTGCTTAAAAATGGAAAAGAAGTATTTCTCTTTAAAGAGGAAATAAAACCAGTGCGTATTCCCTCTCCCACGTCATAGGCAGGAGGCAAGTCATTCCTTGGCAGTTATATGTGGTATCCATTTGCCTTCCCAGTGTGTGGTGATGGTGTAAAGTTCTCATAGATTGCCATGGCATTTGTATTTTGATATATAAGATCTGTTTTCGTCTCTTTCTTAGACTTAATAATGTCCAGAACGCACTGGTTTAGGAAGACATACTGGTCCTATAAGGGAAGAGGAGAAAAAAAAATATTACAAACATTAAGAACAATTTAAACACCACTTTTACTATTATTTATTAACTTTATTTCTATTTTGCCTTTCTCCCTATAGGTATTCAAGATGGCTTACAATAACAGTTTTATTCAAAACACATTGTTAAAACAGTTTAAAAATACATAAGATAAAACAGCACACTACTTCCAAACAGTGTTCTGCCACACAATGAAAAATCAAAGGCCTTCTAAATGAAAATGTTTTAACCTGCTAGTGGAACTAAACCAGGGAGGAGTCTAACCCAACCTCACAGGAAAGTGAATTTCTGGGAACAGCTACTGAGAAGGCTCTGTGTGATGGTGGGAATCAGGAAAAGCCTTCCCATGCAGTTACCAAAACTTTGCCTGGCTTGTGCAGGGACATACATGATTCCATAGCATTGAGCCAAGGCAGTTAAAGTGGTGTCAAATTGCACCAGTTCTACAATGCAGATGCACCCCAATGAGGCCTGGAACCACTGTAGAACAGCACCTCCAGGTCTCAATCCTGAGTGTCGGCCCAAAAAAGTACCATGGTGGATAATACTGAAAACTGGCTAACAAAGACACACTCCAATCTTTAGTTCCTGGCATATGTTAATTTACTAAGGTGACCAAAGCCATCTCAGTCCTACAATCAGGCCTGAAGCCAGATTACTATGTTTACACATGCATTGTTTTAGTCTTCTCGAACATGATTTCACTGGGTGAAAAAAAATCATTTTCAATTTAACAGGATCTTTCTCTTCTGGCATGCGCAGGTAAGATCTCCAGTAAAAGCTCCATGGAGATTTTTAAATCCTAAAATGGCCTAGGCCTAGTGTGACCGAAACAGCAATATCTTCCCATTTTCCTTATCAGATGTTAAGATCACCCCTGAAGTATTTTCCTTTGGAGAAATGGTGCAACAGGCTCTAAGTCTTAATAATAATAATAATAATAATAATAATAATAATAATAATAATAATATTTTTAGTGGGTGGCTTCCCATCTTTGGGAAGACCTTGCCAGGGGAGATCCATTCAGTTTCCTCATTATAAACATTTCAAAAAAGACCCTATTTTTTGGCAGGCATTTAAATTTTAACTTTAAAATTTATTGCTGGCATTTCAAATAACCAAATATTTCCATATCACAACCAATTTCCATATTTTAATGTTCAAACATGTCCCATTTGTTTTGATTTGTATTTTCTTTATGGTGCTTTAGGTTTTCATGACTGCAAGATATCCCAAGGACATATGCCATAAATAAACTGAAGGCAAATAAATGGAATTCGCTCTCTCCCTTGCTAGATTTCTACTGTTCAAACAGAAGGCTAATACAAAGGACTTCTTGTGCAAGCACACCACACACACAGACATTATTATCTGTCCTCTTCACTGCATTTCACCCTAGTCTCAAACACGATGGTTTGAGACTAGGAAAGGTGGCCCTTTCCTCCTCAGTCCCCTTGTGTATGGATATGAAGAGAGGAAAACTATTACCACCTACAGTGAGCTATTCTATAACTTTGTTGCTCTGAAGAATTCAGAAGTGGGAAAAGCATATCAGAACAGACAGATACAAAATATTGAACAAGGAATAAGTTCAAAAAAGTTTAGAAATTGGCCAACAGTTTTTGATGCTGAAAGAGATAACAAAATATGTTATTTTAAACTCTTGGGAAGTTAAAAAGGATTGTACCACAAGTTGAAATAATAGTTCAAAGTTGACTGTTCAGAAGTTTAGTTCTAAAACTTGCAATGGTAACAAAACAGGGGAAAAGATCATCCTGACATCTTTGTACATAACAATGGCTTTTAAGGAAAGGCTTTCAGAGTTCAATTCAATTGAAACAATGGGAAACAGTTATTCACTCTCCAACAGGTCAGTCATTCTTTTGCATTGTGAAGAGAGCAGTCTGTTCTACCTCTGTTTGCACCATTAAGGACCGATGCATGCGAAGATCATATACGACACCATACACATCAACTGTATTCTCCATCTCCATTTGATGGATCAAACGGTCAATTGCAATAAAAGTTCCTGTCCTCCCAACACCGGCACTACAAGAGAAAATATTAGGCACAGATTGGTTTCATATTTGTCTTCAGTTATCTTTTTGAAATATTCCACATAAAATCCTTACATATAGCCCTGTTTTGGGATTACAACATAGCATAATTTGATTTTCTTGGTGCAGGAAAATGCACATAATCTATCTTGTACTGGGTATAACTACCATAAAACCATTTCCTTCCTTTCCTGCATTCTGTGGGCTGGGAGGCAGAGGATGAAGCAAAACACGGAGAAAAGAATACCAATTTTATATCATATTTTGTTTGTTTGTTTGTTTAATGCAGTGGTTTCCAACCTTTTTTTGACCAGGGCCCACTTTGACCAGGGCCCACTTTCCAACATTAGTACCAAAAGGGGCAGGGCTGGTCAGCTCTGTGGAAAGCAGCAGAAATAAAATAAATAGAATAAAATAAAATAAATAAAGAGAAAGGAGGTTCATGGACTTTTCATTCTTGCGGTCCACTTCTGGGCCACAGCCCAAAAGTTGGGAACCACTGGTTTAATGTATTAGCTTGCCTTTCTTCCAAGGAGGTCAAGAGAATGTATTTGGTTCTTCTCCTCATGTTTATCTTTACAAACAACCTGTGAGGTAGTTGAGACTAAGGATGCATCTACACTGTATAATTAAGGCAATTTTACACCATTTTAATTAGGCCATGGCTCAATGTTATGAAATCCTAGATATATAGATCTGGCCACGGTGATACATGCTTTAATTACATCCCATCTGGATTACTGTGATGCTCTCTATGCGGTCTGCTTCTGAAGAGTGCTTGGAAACTTCAGCAGGTCCAAAGAGCTGCAGCCTGGTTGCTCACTGGGGCTGGTTACAGGGAGTGGACAACCCCCTTGTTGAAGCAGCTCCACTGGTTACCAGTCTGTTTCTGGGCACAATTTAGAATGCTGGTTATGACCTTTAAAGCCTTAGATGGTTCAGGTCCAGGTTATTTGGCTGACTTCACCCCTTTGTACGAACCTATCCAGGCCCTGAGATCTTCAGGAGAGGCCCTTCTCATGGTTCCACCTCTGAAGCTTGGTTGGTGGGAAAGAGAGATCGGGCCTTCTTGGTGGCTGCTCCACAACTCTGGAACTCCCTGCCCAGGGAAGCCAGAATGGCCCCCTCCCTGCTGTCCTTCTGGCAGTAGACTAAAACCTTTTTATTTAGGCAGGCTTTAAAAGATGAAGATGTTTAAAATCAATTCAGGGGATGCTGAGATTTTAAATTTTGAATTTGTTTTAATTGTTTTTAACTGGGAATTTTAAATACTGTTTATATTTAATCATGTTCGTATATTTATATATTTTAAAGGGTTATGATTATGCTTTTTTGTTAAGCTGCTTTGAATCCCCTTTGGGGGAGATAAAGCAGGGCATAAATAGTAACAACAACAACAGCAGCAACAGTTTGGCATAGACCATATAAAATGACAATTCCCAGGATTCCATACCATGAAGTCATGGCAGCTAAAGTGGTGTCAAGCTGCATTAATTCTACCAGTGAAAGTGAGTGACTTCAGTGAGTTTCATGTCTGCTTGGAGATTTGGACCTGGATATTTCCAGCCCTAGTCTTTCATTCATGTGAACTCCCTCATTGAATATCACAATGACGTTACTAGATAATTACTATGGGTTTTAGTGGTGAATGCAATGGCTTACAATGGTCTTCCTACCTCTTCAAACATAGTGGTAAAGAACTACATTTTAAAAATGCTTTTTTGAAAAAGGAAGGGAAGACAATTTTTGTACCTGCAGTGCACTAGAGTTGGAGACGTCAGTGGGTTCTGCTTCATGTATTCTTGAACTAAGTGCCTGAAGCTAATGAGGAGATCAGTCGTTTCCGGAACGCCATGATCTGGCCAGGCAGTGAAGTGAAACTGCCTCACAGGGTGACTTTCCGATGAATCGCTCTTACAAATGAAAATAAGGAGGTAAGATTCAGGACAATAGTACTAATAAGCATTTATAGTTAAATAGTTCCTGTAATTGCTTCCCAGCAATCCTCTGTATGTAGGCAATATTTCTAGCAAGGGTTCAGTTTGACATTACAGACAATCCACCACAAGGGAATTGTGATTGCACATTCCCTTGCGGCAGATTGCCTGTAATGTCTAGCAGAGTCAGGTCCTATGGTACTAGGCACTGGCAATATGAATTAGAAGGATGTCTTGTGAGAATGGAAAAGGCAGGCACACAGAAGCTAAAAGTGATTCCAGGTGCAAAAGGAAATAGGAATACAGATTGAGCATCTCTTATTGTGACTTCCAAAATCTGAAATACTTCAAAAATGGGTAGTTGAGATAGTAACATTGTTTTCTGGTGGTTATTGGTTTGTAATCATTGTGCATGACACAACATTTGTATATTTTGATATAGAATGTTTGTATATATTGATATACAAATTCTGTGCCATGAACAATGATTAAAAATTTAAAATATTGTGCCTAAAATTACCTTCAAGCTATATGTCCTGGGGAAAAAGCAAAGTAAAAATGCTACTGCTACTACTATTACTATGCATAAGGTTATATAAAATGTTAATGAATTTCATGTTTAGCCTTGGATCCTTTCTCCAAGTTATTTCATTATGTATAGGCAAATATTCCAAAATCTGGGGAAAAAATATGAAATCTAAAACACTTCTGGCGCAAAGCATTTCAGATAACTGAGTTCAGGAAGTATGACTTCGACCACCTCAAGTTTTCAGAGTTTTAATGTGTCTCTGTTGTTTCTCCCCCAGCTTTCTGAGAGAAGTCAAAGCATAAACTGACCTAAAAATAAATAAATATATCAATCAATCAATAAGAGTATAAGTAACACTAGAAACATTTAATATTTCAGTCCCTTAATAATTTTGGTTGCTGTTTTTCTGGATTTTATTTTCCTTTTTATGGAAGAGCAATGACAAGAATTCCACTCTAAACAACTCACCTTTTCCATGGAAAAATCTCTTATTGTCCACTCTGGAAGGACAATTTCTGAGGTCATGGCTACAGTTATGTCTCCATAGCTCTTGGATTGTTTGTTTGGCCAGTATTCCTCACATTTTGTCTAGAAAGATAGATTAAGAACTGTGTTATATCTTACAATAATAATCAAGAAAAATAGTTTCAGGATAATCAGTGCAATAAATCTAAAACACTCAGCAAGGTCAAATTTACACTGAGTGTATATGTGAACAAAAGAGTTTAGTTTGGGACATGTGGATGTGGATGTGGGGGGTTGGTATTCCCTGTCTCCCACTGTAATGCCCAAAGGCAATTCCTACCGACTTACTGTAAGGCCCCAAAACATCCTTGCATGGCCATTCTGGGTTTTATGATGAGAATGAAATGAGAGCAGTCATTAATTTGTGACTGGGTATGATCCTGTCTGCTTGCCGTGAAACATCTAAAGGTTACACAAGGTGGTGGTGGGCTTTACAGGAAATCAAAACTGTGGTGGTATATGGCTCAGCATATAAGTAGCAGAGATTTGTATGCAGATATTCATGCTACATTGAGAGGACATTGGCTTTACATCCGTGAGAGTACAAAGGTGCATGTGGAAGCATTTGGATACGATCAGCTAATCTAAGAAAAGCTTTGGAAAGGGGCCAAAAGATATCTCCAGACAAATTCAGCATCCGTTTTATAAAGACTGGAACCAGGGAGAACCAAGCCAAGTAGAAATGGGCCAGACAGAGATCTAAGCACCAGGTGACAGCCCAGATGGTTTCCTTCCTCTATCTTTTCTTTCCACCTTGAAATCTGAAACACCAAGTTGTCTTCTAATGTGATAGATTAAGGGCAGGGCCTATATCTTGATTTTTATTTGAGCACCACTTATTCATTTACCACCAGAATCACTACATATTGGGTTTCAACTATTCAGAAACTTGGAGCCTTTGTAAGTTGTAGAAATGAGATAAAAATAAATATACATTTATAAACATATGTTTTAATGACACCTGTGCACACAGAACTGTGTACCTGCATCACAATATTCTGTAGTATTATTCCAGCACCATGTTAACCCCTCCCACCCCAAGATTTTAAATAAAAGCTTTTTGAGGCCTAATGATTTCACACAAATGTTTTAAATTTATATTTTCATAAAGTATTTTAAATTAATTTTATTTGTATGCTGGTCTGAGATTTTGTGATTTAGAACTGGATATAAAGGTTTTAATGAACGAGTAAATATATAAATAAATATTCATAGGTAAATCCTTACCCTGCCTTGTTCAACACATTTAGTTAACATAACCACGGTATAAATATCCTTTTCCCAGATCATGCGCCAGAAATCTTGCACAGTGGTGGGCAGAGGACCTTGTGCGGCTATGAACTCCTTCTTTGAATTGTATCCCTATAATTAAAAAAAAAGGCATCTTCAGACCTCCTTTGTATTTTATAAATATTTATCTTATAAGCATTATCATTATCATAATTATTATAGTGGCAGATCCGAACAACTTACTGGCATATAGTTTGCATTGATGTAATCACTGCCTGGATGACTCTGAGTGGAAAGTTTAACACGAGAAATATCATCTGCAAATGCAAAATAATTTAGTATCATAATCTTTTCCTTTTGTTTCTTAAACAGCATAGAACATACAAAGTAAGAAAATCCACAGGAAAATAAATGTACTCATTGGAAAAACCAACTATAAGATAAAGGAATTTGGCTAAGTACTGTAATTAATAATAAAATTAATCTTAATTATTGAAGCTGAACAGCAGTACAGGCATTTCCACTTCCCAATAAATTGCCCACAATCCAGAGAAAATTAGTCATACTCAACAAATTATGTTGAAATTAGTTCATGTCTCACTAATCTTACTACAGAATGGTATTACAGGAGTCTTGGAATAAGGTTTGCAAAGGATTTGCTACAATTATGCATGTGTAGTAACTGCTATACATACAGTTCAGTGGCCACTATTTCAATTTAGGATTTGCTACAATTATGCATGTGTAGCAACTGCTATACATACAGTTCAGTGGCCACTATTTCAATAGCAATGGCTTGTCAATGTAATATCTTCCTCAAGTAGTTTCAAGAATCATCAGCCCTACTATCTATGGATAACACAACCCTTTTTGTGTTGTTGAAGGCTTTCATGACCAGAATCACTAGGTTACTGTGATTTTTTTATCAAGTTGTACTACTGGAACATGGCCATACATCCCCAAAAAACTCACAGCAACCCGCAACCCATTTTGTTCTCCACTGCTTTTAATGGATAACCCATTACTCTCCTGATTTGTTCTAATTTTCTTCTCCTTCTTAAACAAGAGTAACAACAATATTGAATTAACTTTTCATGAAATGGCCTTGGATTTGACTCTAGATGATGTGATTTTAATAATTGTTTTAATACTGCTGTTATTTTTTCTTTGAGTTTTAATTGTATTTTTATTGTATTTATGTATTTATTTTTATGTATGACATCAAATTGCTGCCTTTTGTGAACCGCTCTGCATCCCCCTGTGGGGGAGAGAAAGGTGGGATATTAATGTAGTAAATAAATACATAATAATAATAAATTATACTGTCTTGTACTTGTTGAATTTCTCACTGTTTTAGTTTCACAGATGTCATTTAGAATTATAATAGTTGGAAGAGATGTAAACCACTATCCAATCCTACTCCATGTGGCCATACAGGAACATGCAATCAAAGCACTCCTGACAGATGGCCATCAGCCTCTGCTTAAAACCCCTCAGAGAAGGAGACTCCACCATGCTCAGAGGCAGCAGCATATTCTGCTGGCGAACATCTCTTATCATCAGGATATTCTTCCTTATATTTATGTGTAATCTTTTTTCCCCCTGACCATTTGAATTCATTGCTCTATTGTGTTCTAGTCTCTAGAGCAGCAGAAAATATGTCTGCTCTCTCCTCATTATGACATTCAAGCATCCAAATATTTAAGTATAGCAATAATATTCCCTCTTAACCTTATTTTTTCCGAGCTAAATGTACCCACTCTTAGGCCACTCTGCAAAGGGTTTGGATTCCAAATCTATTCTCAGTTTGGTCACTCTCCTCTGACATGTTCCGGTTTGTCAATATCCCTCTTGAATTGTGATGCCCAGAACAGTGTTATTCCAAGCAAGGTCTGACCCAAAGCAGAATAGAATGGGACTATGACTCTCCTCGGTCTCTAGACACTATACTCCTATTGATGCAGCCTAGAATTGCATTGGCTTTTTAACCTGCTACGTCACATTGTTGACTAGTGTTCAGGTTGTGGTCTACTAAGACTACTAGTTCGCTTTCACGTGTACTTCATTTAAAGCAGTGAAAAATCAACCAGTACTGCATTCACCATCCAATTTAAGTACTATTTTGTAAAGGAAAGCCAAGATGTACATGTACAATATGGAAATGTGTGTAGGAATTAACAAATTAACATTTTTAAAAGCCATATAAACCCCTGTTATTTCAACAACTGTCCTTAAGATGGCATATGAAACAATTCCATGTGAAAATAAGATGTGGAATCCAGAAGTGATTCTGGTCCCTTTGGATCACACCAAGCGCCCTGCCATATCACATCCCAGTGCTCCTCACCAGAACTGACCTGGAAACCGGTTCAGCTGCAGTGGGAGTTCACCTCATGTTTGAGAGATTAAAAACAACAAATGGACCAGAAAGTTAGGGCTACATCCTTATAAAATTCTGCTCAAGAAAAATGTTTCTCGGAATATAAAACTGCCAGATTTGTGTTTTATCTAAATGTCCTCAATTTGCAAATAGAAGGCCTAGTACAGTGTTAGTGCTTCATCTGTTGTTGTTCATTCGTTCAGTCGTCTCCGACTCTTCGTGACCTCATGGACCAGCCCACGCCAGAGCTCCCTGTCGGCCGTCACCACCCCCAGCTCCTCAAGGTCAGTCCAGTCACTTCAAGGATGCCATCCATCCATCTTGCCCTTGGTCGGCCCCTCTTCCTTTTGCCTTCCACTTTCCCCAGCATAATTGTCTTCTCTAGGCTTTGCTGTCTCCTCATGATGTGGCCAAAGTACTTCAACTTTGTCTCTAGTATCCTTCCCTCCAATGAGCAGTCAGGGCTTTATTTCCTGGAGGATGGACTAGTTGGATCTTCTCGCAGTCCAAGGCACTCTCAGAACTTTCCTCCAACACCACAGTTCAAAAGCATCTATCTTCCTTCGCTCAGCCTTCCCTAAGGTCCAGCTCTCACATCCGTAGGTTACTACAGGGAATACCATGGCTTTGACTAGGCGGATCTTTGTTGCCAGTGTGATGTCTCTACTCTTTACTATTTTATCGAGATTGGACATTGCTCTCCTCCCAAGAAGTAAGCGTCTTCTGATTTCCTGGCCACAGTCTGCGTCTGCAGTAATCTTTGCACCTAGAAATACAAAGTCTGTCACGGCCTCCACGTTTTCTCCCTCTATTTGCCAGTTATCAATCAGTCTGGTTGCCAGAATCTTGGTTTTCTTTATGTTTAACTGCAACCCAGCTTTTGCACTTTCTTCTTTCACCATGATTAGAAGGCTCCTCAGCTCCTCCTCGCTTTCGGCCATCAAAGTGGTGTCATCTGCATATCTAAGGTTGTTAATGTTTCTTCCAGCAATTTTCACCCCAGCCTTGCATTCATCAAGCCCCGCACATCGCATGATGTGTTCTGCATACAAGTTAAAAAGATTGGGTGAGAGGATGCAGCCTTGCCGTACGCCTTTCCCAATCTTGAACCAGTCTGTTGTTCCGTGGTCAGTTCTTACTGTTGCTACTTGGTCCTTGTACAGATTCCTCAGGAGAGAGACAAGGTGGCTTGGGATGCCCATCCCACTAAGAACTTGCCACCATTTATTATGATCCACACAGTCAAAGGCTTTAGAATAGTCAATGAAGCAGAAGTAGATGTTTTTCTGAAACTCCCTGCCTTTCTCCATTCTCCAGCGGATATTGGCAATTTGGTCTCTCGTTCCTCTGCCTTTTCTAAACCCAGCTTGAACATCTGGCAACTCTCGCTCCATGTATTGCTGGAGTCTTCCTTGCAGGATCTTGAGCATTACCTTCCTGGCATGAGAAATAAGGGCCACTGTACGGAAGTTTGAGCAGTCTTTCGCATTTCCCTTTTTTGGTATGGGGATATAAGTTGATTTTTTCCAGTCTGATGGCCATTCTTGTTTTTTCCATATTTGCTGGCATGGCATGCATCACCATGACAGCATCCTCTTTCAAGATTTTGAACAGTTCAGCTGGGATCCCGTCTCCTGCTGCCTTGTTGTTAGCAATGCTTCTTAAGGCCCATTTAACCTCACTCCTCAGGACGTCTGGTTCTAATTCACTCACCACACCGTCAAAACTATCCTTGATATCATTATCCTTCCTATACAGATCTTCTGTATAGTCTCACCATCTTCTCTTGTTCTCTTCAGCTTCTGTTAGTACCTGCCATCTTTTCTTATTATCAATTTTTGCCTGAAATTTACCTCCAATGTTTCTAATTTTCTGGAAGAGGTCTCTTGTCCTTCCTATTCTGTTGTCTTCTTCCACTTCCATGCATTGCTTATTTAAAAATAGTTCCTTATCTCTTCTGGCTAACCTCTGGAATTGCGCATTTAACTGGGCATATCTCCCCTTATCCCTGTTTCCTTTTGCTTTCCTCCTTTCTTGGGCTACTTCCAGTGTCTCAGCAGACAACCATGTTGCCTTCTTGGTTTTCTTTTTCTTTGGGACGTACTTTGTTGCCGCCTCCTGAACAATGTCGCGGACTTCTGTCCATAGTTCTTCTGGGACTCTGTTTACTAAATCTAGTCCTTCAAATCTGTTCTTCACTTCCACTGTATATTCGCTAGGAATGTTAGTGAGATCATATCTAACTGGTCTGTGTATTTTCCCTGATCTCTTTAGTTTTATTCTAAATTGGGCAATAAGAAGTTCGTGATCTGAGCTACAGTCAGCCCCAGGTCTTGTTTTCACCGACTGGATGGATGTCCGCCACCTTTGGCTGCAAAGGATGTAGTCAATCTGATTTCGGTGTTGACCGTCTGTAGAGGTCCATGTGTAAAGCCGTCTTTTAGGTTGTTGGAAGAGAGTATTCGTTATACACAGCGAGTTTTCCTGGCAAAATTCTATCAGCCTGCGTCCCGCTTCATTTTGTTCTCCCAGACCATGCTTGCCTGTGATCCCTGTTGTCATTTGACTTCCCACCTTGGCATTCCAGTCTCCTGTAATGAAAATAATGTCTCTTTTTGGTGTATTATCCAGTAGTTCCTGCAGATCCTCATAGAACTGATCTACTTCTGCTTCTTCAGCAGCTGTGGTTGGGGCATATATTTGGATCACTGTAATGTTGAAAGGCTTTCCTTGCACTCGAATTGAGATCATTCTGTCATTTTTTGGGTTGTATCCAAGCACCGCTTTAGCGAATTTCTTATTAATTATGAAGGCTACTCCATTTCTTCGATGTTCCTCTTGTCCGCAGTAGTAGATCTGGTGGTCATCTGATGTGAAGTGGCCCATTCAGTCCATTTCAGTTCGCTGACCCCCAGAATGTCTATCTTTAGTCTTGACATCTCACCAATAACAACATCCAATTTGCCCTGGCTCATAGATCTTACATTCCAGGTTCCTATGGTGTGTTGATCTTTAGAGCATCGGATTCGTCGTTCACCTCCAGTACCGTCGGCCGCTAGCCTTCCTTTCGGCTTTGAGCTAGCTGCGTCATCACATCTGGGGCTAGTTGAACTTATCCTCTGCTCCTCCCCAGTAGCATTTTGGCCATCTTCCGACCTGGGAGTCCATCTTCCAATGGCATACCGACATATCTCTGGTTGTACTGGTCCATTTAGTTTTCTTGGCAAGGATACTGGAGTGGTTTGCCATTGCCTTCCCCAGGGATCACGCTTGGTCTGACCTCTCTGCCACAACCGTCCCGTCTTGGGTGTCCCTTCACGGTTTCGCTCATGACATCATTGAGGTGCTCAAGCTCCAGCGCCCCGACAAGGCGGTGATCCTTTGCTGGAGAGTGTTAGTGCTACATTAATTTAAATAGTAATAGGTTGAATATACAAAAGCCTTGAAGAACTCACATGGTAAAACATTATTATATCTGTTTTTTCCTTTGTTATCAGGCACTTCAGCTGCAAATTTGGGCTGATTGACACCAACTGGCCTCAGATCCTACAGCAAAAAGAAATATTTAATATTAAATTATCTCAATGCATATTCCAGGTCCTGAACAATTCACATAGACATTTTGTCTACATGGTGATATTTGAAGAGTCTTTGAAAATTATTTGTTTGGGGAGCAGTTTTCTTTATATGGAAATGTGCTTATGTATCCATATCCACACCCAAGTGCCTATGCTAACACTTTTATTAGGCCAACCCATACAAGCACAGACATGTCAGTGCCTAGCTCTCTTAAACCCAATTGTCTTCATTTGGCAAAGATGGTTTTTTAAAAGCCCTATATATAATATTTTCCAGATGTATATGAATCATAGAATCATAGAGTTGGAAGAGACTCCAAGGGCTATTCAGCCCAACCCCCTGCCATTCAGGAAAAGCACACTCAAAGCCCCCCCCAACAGATGGCCATCCAGCCTCCGATCAGTTAAGCTGAGTAGTCTCCACCCCCAATAGGCCTCTATGCTAAGAAGAAAAGTAACAAAACAGAGCAATAAATGTATATTCTACATTTGCAAATGTGAAAGACTCTCTTGAAATTTTAAGTATATCTCTAATCTGTCAAAAAAAAAAAAACCCCACTGTAACAGAGGAAAAGGTCGAATGCATACCTCATACTCTTCTGCAAAGCCACAGTTTGAATCAGCCTTTTGTTTCTTAAAATAAGACTCAAAGTTTTCAACTTTAATTAATTTTGATCTGCAACAAAGAAACAAAGGCTTGTAGTACCCAATCATGGTCTGTCACATACTACTTTTGCCTGAAACTCAAAGGCCTGCAGCCAATAACATGTTAGGGCTCAACTAACTGCCAGCACAACTTTTCCTTCTTCTCCCTGCTTTAGACCCTCTGTACTCCTTAACTGTCTTCCACACAAAATCCGTTTTCTAGCCCTGCAGCTCAGAAGGAGACTCTCTCCTTCCAATTCAGCTGGCGGAAACACATCTGTCAATAGAAATCTCTACTTGGATCTTGACCAAAAACTCCTGCAGCATTTTGAAGACTGTTTATGCATTGAAATTTCACATACAGCAGCCAGGCATGAATACTGACATATTTCTTAGAGTAACAATCCTAGAACTGGAGTGTAACTATATGGAACTAAATAGTAACATATTATAGTATTAAAGATTATAACAATTCAGATTTCTTAAAAAAAACAAACCCCAGAAGATACCCTCACAGTAAACATATAAAGGAGGTAACATGAAACATTTGATCAAAAATCAATTTTTTTTTGAGAAACTCTATAGAGAATGGTAATACGTGGCTAAGTTCATTATTTATTGAAGGTTTGGTAAATTATTTACTTACTTTTTAGGTCTGGAAAGAAAGAAGAAAGGGAAAAGGAAAACAGTGCACTCATTAGTTATAAGCTTTTATTGGTGGAACACAACATCTGCACATAATATTCAGGGTTTAGAGAAGCAGAAATTACAATAAACACCAATTTTCTCCCTGAGTCTGCTCAAATAAGTTTTATAGCAAAATGCAAATTGGGAAAATGATTGGATCATAGTTATGTTCTATCGTTACTATTCCCAATTATTAACTTGTGTCCCTTTCTCTCTATTCTTCAGTCCACTTGCTGGACTGGTGCGGAGCTTTGGCCTAGAGTGCTACCAGTATGCAGATGATACCCAGCTACTCTTTCGTCTCGAACCTGGAACAACTGCGATTCCTGAGAACTTTAAGTTGTGTTTGGAAGCAGTGATGAGTTGGCTACGAGCAAGCAGACTAAAAGTCAATCCTGCAAAAACTGAGATACTCTGGCCCGGCCAGCCGCCAGAATTAACCCAGTCTCTGCCTGATTTCGATGGGGAAGCTCTGGTTCCGTCTGCCACTGTTAAAAGCCTTGGGGTTGTGTTGGACTCATCGCTGACGATGGAGGCCCAGATCACTGCCATAAGTAAGCAGGCCTTTTTTCATCTTCGCCAGGCAAGGAAATTGGCATCCTACCTTTCGGTAGAAGCATTGGCAACAGTAATCCACGCAACAGTCACCACGAGGTTGGACTATTGCAATGCCTTATATGCTGGCCTTCCGAAGTCAATGACCCAGAAGATTCGGATGGTCCAAAATGCGGCAGCCAGGCTGCTAGCGGGATCATCTATAAGATCCCATATTACACCGATTCTGCAACAACTGCATTGGCTACCAATAGAACATCGGATCTCTTACAAGATACTGATCCTGACATTTAGAGCTCAAAATGGCCAAGGACCTTTATATCTTAGGGACCGCCTCATTCTTTTCCCATCAGTGGTCACCTCGATCCACCCAGGAAAATCTCCTCTACATACCGGGTCCTAGGGAGGCACATTTGGAAGCTACAAGGCGTAGAGCTTTTTCGATCAGTGCTCCAATTCTGTGGAACTCATTGCCTCCATATATTAGAGCAATGTCGGAGTTGTGACCTTTTGCAAAGGCGCTCAAGACTTGGCTGTTTGGCTGTGCATTTAAGTAACCGGATCAAATTTTGCCATAGTCACTGCTGAATGTTTTTATGTTGAATGTTTTATGTTGAATGTTTTTATGTTGAATGTTTTTATATTGAATGTTTTTATATTGAATGTTTTATATTGTGTATAAACTGTTTTAAATTGTAAGTCGCTCGGAGCACCTTGGTGGAGAGCGACTAATTAAGAAATAAAGTGATGATGATGATGATGATGATGATGAGAAAAAATTCGTCACCCAGGAAGATTTAAAAACACAAACACTTTTTCCAGAAAATCCAAAATAGATGGGATGCTATTCTCACAATTAGCAATTGTGTGAGGGGCATTTTTAGAGAGTAACATTAGAGCCTTAATAGCCTAATTTTAGGTCTAAATACATGGATGGCACCAGATCTTGGAAGATAGGGCAGGGTTTGGCCTGATTAGTACTTGGATGGGAAACCACCATGCAATATCAAGTGTGATAGGTTACATTTCAGAGGAAGACAACAACAAACTGTGAAAAACACAATGAAATTCATGAGGTTGCCATAAATTGGCAAGCAACTTGAAGTCATGCACACGTGGCATACACACAATAGTTAATATGTTTTTAAAGCACTGGGAGTGTTACGGAATTTACATGATTTTTCTAACTAGGCCAATACAGAAACCAATAATTTACTACTGATTCATTACAACTTGTGAAACAAAGACAGCAATAATCAACTTACTCAATTGGAGAAAATGGCACTTCGTTATTTTTTCCACCATGCCTGCAAAATTTGAAAATTAAAAAAAAATTGGTTGTTACCCCATTCTTTAAAACATTTATGTCAAATCAAACCCAAAATGCAACCGCAAAATGGCCACTGTAGTACAGACAAATCTTTGCAAAAAAAAAAAAAAGCCCTTCTTATAAATGGCTTATAAATCGCCACATAACGAGCAAACAGGAAACCTTGGAGTAGACAACGATACTGGGGAAAATGAAAAGAAAAAGGAAGAGGAGTTGACCAAGGAGAAAATGGATGGATAGTATCCTTGAAGTAACTGGTTTGACCTTGAAGGAGCTGAGTGTGGCCACGGCTGAAAGGGAGCTCTGGCCACATGGTCCATGAGGTCACGAAGAGTCGGAAATGACTGAACGAATAAACAACAACATAAATAGTTGCCATCAGTCTGCTCCACCCCAAGCATCCAAAATGGCTGCCACATATTGCTTCTGAACTCTGCTCAGGTCTAAAAAGAAAGTGAGGAATGAGGGAAGGATGCCTTTCTTTCTTTCTTTGGTTTGGGCAAAGACAAGGTAATTGGATTGGAGCTTCTTGCCTATTGTTACTGCCTTTGCATTGGGTCTCTACTCCAGCACTGACTTGTTTATGTAGACCCAGGGCCTTGGGGTGGTCATTTGCTACAACTTTTTCAACGTATACACATGTATATATAGCAAATGGATAGAAATAACTAAGTATCAATCAAATGTTTACACTGTGGTTCTCACTTCTTCACCTTCTGAAAGAGAAGAATAAGCCTTACAGTATAAATTTGGATTCCACCTACAGTTAATAACATAGTAGTTAATTCTAGACATTAAAATCTGACAAAATTGACAGTATGACAGTAGCTTCTAAGAACAGCCACCTTAACTCCTACTAGGTCAATTGTGTATAGTTGAGCAATTTAAATTGTACCCATTCTCTAACTCCAAATATTACACACTGATGATAAAAAGTAAGGTGTTGTGACTTTCAAAAACTAGCTATTCCTTAGCTGGCCTTATCACTATAATGCAACTGATAGTGGAAGATTCCAGTGCACTTTTTGAAATCTATTTAGGGGCATAGTGAAAGATGGTTTAGTTGTCTCATCTTTAAAAAATGTGAATGTTCTAGTTTTGTGGAGTTAATAATTCTGTCTTGGGCATCCTGAGATATTATGCAGAAAAGCAGTGGAACTGTGGAAGCATAGGGGACCTTGCAAGGCTGCCACCCACTGTACAACACAATTTATTTCCCCTCAAATGCCCACTAGGAGACACAGGATCGTTTTCACTATGTGAAAGGCATTTTAGGCTGAACTGAGGCCTTTTTTAACAAGGAGAGGAAGTCACTTCCTTTTCAAATGAAGGCCTAAATTGGCACACAATGGACCAAAAACATGGTAGACATCCACTTCCCATCCCTCCTAGATGGCATTTTGGGGCAAAATAAAATTTATTGAAAACGTTTGTAATAATTTTGATTGACCTTGGGATCCCAGGGATTTTGCCAACAAGATGGAAATGCACTCCATACCCTCTGGAAGGGAACATTCTGCATCAAAATTTTTGCAAACAATCACAAATTTTTGCAAACAATCGAAAATCACTGAACTCCCTTTTCTACTCCCTAAGGCTTACATTTGCCCATGGCCTACACTTTGTTCACCCCCAGAAGTAGAGAAATAATTCCCGGTGTTTTTAGTCTAGGATATCTAGTAGAGACATATCCAGACTTTGTCAAACATGCAAAATAGAATCCATAGATATTTCCGTAATGAAATATTAAACCCAGGTGCCTCTTGGTAAAACATCTCGAAATAATAAATATACCTTCTCTTTTGCCAGAAGATGAATCCCACTGCTGCAGCAATCACGATTGCAGCCAGAAGACACCCAACAACAGCTCCTATGATGACATCTTGAAAAGACAAAGAAACAACAGTAACTTTTCTGCGGTGATTCATAACACTTCTAAAAATGTAAGTGTCAAACGTACCTTTCAAGGAATGTCAACTATACTTAGTTTTACTTCTCTGGTTATCAAGAGTTTCACAGTGAATTTGGAGCTGAGGTTTTATTTAGGTGCCTGTGTTAAGTATGGAGTCTCAATGTGATGGGATTTTTGTTTTGCTTTCCAGATGTTTTGATCTTCAGTGCCAGGGAGTGTCAACCAGCAAGGCAAATGTTAAAGGTTTGTGGGATCTGGAGTTCAAAAGGTTTTGCAAAGGCTTCACACTCTTGGAATAAGCCTCCAGTACAAATTTTAACCTTGTATTAACTCTAAAAGTCTTTTTAAAAGGAATTATCAAATACAAAAGGAAGAAAATAAATTAATTTCATCAAGTGGAAGTTGGATCTGGTTTCATATCAAAGAAGAATTTCCTCATGTCTACCATGCTGATGTAAACATGAAAACATTTTACTTTCCCAAGCTTTCTAAACTCCAGCAAATTACTTTCTTTTTCTAGCTTCTCTTTTATAGTATAGTGTTTAAATCCAATCTAGTCAAAGTTAATGGGTACTTTGGTCAGATATCAAAAAGAGAACAGAATTGGGTTCACAAGAGCAGATGCAACAACATCTTGATACCTGGATTCTGAGGTAAGGTGACAGAGTCTGAAACTGGTGAAAATGAGACGTAACTCTCCTCCTTGCTGATGAGTTCAACAGTCTTATTCAAAAAAGCAATTTGAGTGAAACCAGCAACACATGCCCTGATGAAAGATAGGGGAGAGAAAAATGGTAGCTATATTATATACGGATAAATGGGAAATGTATATTACTCATTTATTATTTTTTGCTTACATACAAGATTTATGAAAATAGAGTGAGAAATGTAAGAAAAGTACCTGTATGAACCAAGAGGCTCTAGCTTCCCATTGACATAACCATAGACTTTAGATCCATCTCCAATATTACTGTCAAAAGGTTGACTGCTGTGGAAGGAAGATGAACGCTTTTGCTTGGCTGTGATGACAGATGCAACGTAAGAGTTTGTTTTCTTCTGGATGAAATCATCATAGGTGTATTGTAAGGATTCGGGAGAGGCTACATCTATATGAAAAATAAAATCAGATCATAATATAATTTATTAGGCAAAAATTGAAACAGAGGCTATGACCTCTGAATACACTGGTGGTGAAATGCACCTAACCTTTCATCAAAATGAAATTATACAAAATCAAAGTACTTGGTAAAATATTCAGTATTTACTATTTTTAAGATTTTCTTTTATCTGTGAATGATTGCAATCACCATCTCACTCTTCACCTCAGTTTCCATAATATGTCTTGGCATTTTGGCAGATAGATCTGCTCATCACATTTCAGATGCATAAAAAATATTCACAAAGTGAATTAATTAACCTCAATAATACCATTCTTCATAATTCAGAACTGTCTTTAGTTGTTAACTCAACAGTGCAGAGTGAAAATGAAATAAATGTTCCAGCCCATAATTGATCCCATACAGATATCTGAACTCTTTTAGTAGCATTATCAAATGAAAATTTCTCTTAGCTTACTATTCCTCTTTACATTAACTTTGCTTCATTTCTGTCTCTGTGTGAGTTCTTTTTGAAAATTCATGTACAATTTGACTTATGTCTCTTTTAATACATGGATTCATGTGTGCAATATGCCCAATATAAACATTATCTGCAATATTTTTACTCATATTAAGTGTATTTAGTTTTCACTGGCATATGTACTCTGTATCTATTTGTTCTTGATGTGAGCCTTTAAGTCATTTCTGACTTATGGCAACCTAAATACAACCTTCTGATGGGGTTTTCTGCGCAAGATTTTTTCAGAGGCAGTTTTGCCATTGCCTTCCTCTGAGGCTGAGAGAGTATGACTCTCCCCAAGGGTATGCAATAGGTTTCCATGGAAAAGCAAGGAATGCAGTCTCTCCCATCCCTACCCATGATGTTCCAATCCAATTTTTAAGGCAAAGCTCTCTTAATACCAAGGTGTTTTTTTTCTAAGATGAGAGTTAACATGTACCCAAGAAATGTCTTAGGGGGCAAAAAGTATACCCGACTTTGATCCAGTAGCACAATGATCTATCATAACCTCAGTTGGCATAAGGAGCATTGCTGCAAATAACAAATATTATGATGGCAGTAGACACTTGAGAATCATTCAAAACTTATTATATTGGAAAATTCTTCAGGGTAGGAGCAGAGGAATTTTCAAACAGTCCAAAACTGTTAGAATAGTCCTTTCAATACAGAATGAATGCTCAGTCTCATGATGATAGACTCAAGATGACAAAGCACCCACAGAAACGTGAATGGGAAACATGTATAATGTCATATTTATTCAAATATCATTTCTGTATTATGATTCTACCAACAAAATGGGACAATGGTGCAGGTGGGTGATACAGAGAAATGCTGCTGTTCATTCGATAATTGTCAAAAGTGAGCAGGAATGTTTTCTGCAATATATACATATTGAAACAAGTTGATTTCTTGACTTTTTATTCTCTTTATTTAAAAAAAAAGATCGAAAATTTTCAGTTCAAGACAGGATAGTCAACCTAGGTACACAATATTTTTACCTGCAGTTGTGACAATTATTGCATAAGCAGTTACAGGTCCATTACTTGAATTAAAGTTATCAAACTGAACTTTCAAAGAGGAGTGGCTTCTTGCTACAACGTTAGGTGGCTGAGATGGTGGTGGGGGATCTGGAAAAGAAAGTACAGCCATGAGCTTAAAAGGGAGAGAGAAATACAATTTAACAGAAAATACTCAGATGTTTATTTGACCATACTATGAAGAAACACTCTCTGTTTGTACCCTCATTACTTGAACAGACACAGAACAGGTCAGCATTTCATCATTTCTCCACCTTACCAAATCATGCAGGACATAACCTAACATTACTCATATCATGCCGTTACCCAGAATCTGTGGCAATGAAAATATGTGGAGGCATCTCATAGTAACTGGAAATTCACATTGTAGATGCAGGAAAGAGAATGGTTTCTGGCTGTACTTTAAAGATTTTGTGTTGTTGTACTGCATCTATATATTGTTCACTAACCAAACCTACACATACAACACACAACACCAAAGGCAATCATTTGCAAATACTGAATCATCAGTAGGCAGTATCTTGTGACAGCTTTAAGTCTCCATATTTAAAGACAAGCTGTGTGGACATGCTCACAGGTTTTTCTTAGTGGTTGCTCTACATCTGTGCAACTCCTTTCCAAATAAAGTTCACAGATTTAGACCAAGTTTAGTATTTTTGGAAGAGTTGTTAGATTTTTCAATGAAGATTGACAACTATCTACATAAGGCCATTTGAGTTTTATGAAATAGATAATTCTAATTACAGCAAGCCCCCCACTTTGACAGAAGTTAGTGATACAAGACCCCTAGAAAAATGGGGGGGAAAGCATCTTTTTAAAAGACACTATTTTTTTTTACCTTTCTCTAAGAATCTCCAGGTTTATTTATTTATTTATTTATTTACTTTACTTGTATACCGCAGTTTCTCAGCCCAACAGGCGACTCAACGCGGTTTGCAACAAGGATAAAAATCAGACAAAGATATACAATTTAAAACCCTAATAGCATGGTATACAATATTAATATAACAATAAACAACACAATACATCTCATAACTAGAGTCGTGATCCAGTTCGTCGTCCGTTTTTCCATTCCTGTATCATAATATTCATTGCACTGTTGGTCCGAATGCCCACTCAAACATCCAAGTTTTTAATCTTCTTCGAAACACCATTAGTGAGGGGGCTGATCTAACCTCCATGGGAAGGGCGTTCCACAGCCGGGGGGCCACCACAGAAAAGGCCCTGTCTCTCGTCCCCGCCAGCCGCACCTGTGAAGCAGGCGGGATGGAGAGCAGGGCCTCCCCAGAAGATCTTAGGGTCCTGGCGGGCTGATAGGCAGAGATACGTTCGGATAGGTAGCATGGGCCAGAACCGTTTAGGGCTTTATAGGCCAACGCCAGGTTCTTCTGTGTGACTTTATGGTCAGCCTCCAACAGACATTGACTATAAAGTCATGCTGGAGGACCTAGACATTCTTTAAAAGAACATCTATGAATAATCAAATCTAAAAAAAGCTAGACACACAAATGTAGAGAGTCAACTATAGTTACCCCACTTTTATTATAACAATTGCAAAAGGCCTAGCTAGCTATGTTGGTCTGCTACATCACGAACAGTGAAGATCCCTGTGATACCTTAAAAACTATGACATTGCTATAATAATTAGTCGTTAAGGTGCCACAGGAATCAATTTTTATTTCATTTTTATAAAATTGCTGTTACCCCAGACTTGGAAAAGGCTGGGGACTGAGGAAATAAATTTCTTAGGATAGAACCAACGGGCCAATATTTTTTCCAAACATTTTAATAATGTTTTTACTGATCAAAAGTACCATACAGTCAAACTTGTTAGTGCACATGTTATTAAGGTGTAATATGGATACACAGATGTAATGACAACAGCAATATTATTCACAAATCAAAGTCCCCTATCCACTCAGAGAAGGCTGATTTTTGCTTACCAGTAATACTTGTTCTGCATCTAATTTCTTTAGGTGAGCTCTCCTTTTCACATGAACGTGTAATGACTGTAATAGTATAGTTGGTAAAGTAATCCAAATTTTTTATTGAAGTTTTGTTTTCTTTGCCAAGCATTTCAGGCGGTTTATTATTTAATGCTTTAATATTGAAACCTTCGTATTTCCCATTTGGAAAACTCCAGTTTAAAATCAATTCCGGCTGCTTGGCCACAGGGTTACAGGATAGTTCATCCACTGGAGCTGGATCTACAAGCAAATAGGAAGACAGGTAGTGGCCACATTGATTGTTTAAATAACATACAATGATAGGATGAAAAATGCAGCAAAATAGGAGAAAATTAAAACTATCCCACTATACCCCTTCCCTACTTTATATCCTTAAGTCTTATTTATGCATTTGTGGGGGGGGGGGTTTGTTTTTATATCCTGATTTTTCTCTAAGGAACTCAAGGTGATATACATGACTCCCCTCCCTTAGGCTAATAAAATGACTGGCTGGAAAGCACCTAGTGACTCTCCCCACTCAGTTCGTACAGAGTCAGATACGACTAGACTTAATGTCAGGAGAAAGCTTTATCTTTACCTACACTAGATTTATTTAAACAATTAAATTTATCTCTGTGTTCATTATCATTCAACAATTAGCCTGCTATAGTTGGGACTAGCCAACAGAATCCCAGCCAGTGTCTCTGATTCTGATGCTGTCCTCCCATGGAGAACGATGACTCAGAACAAGAAAGCTTCTTTACAATTTGCATCCATTAATTGCGATTCTGCCCACAGAGCATCAATATCCAAAAATCAAGTTTATTTAGTTTGTAATTGAAAAACTAATATCTATGAATGGTTTCTTCTAATCTGTTTTCCAAATAGATGTACAGATGTATCTGGATGTATGTATCTCTCTCTGTGTGTGTTATATTTCAATTCCAGGTGAATGTTCTAGGTATTACAACAAGTTATTACCAAATTACGATGAAAACCATCTTGCTTTAGTTTTAGTCACCACATACATAGGCAGCGTACAGAAAAATAATAGAAATATGCTTCCAAATATTAAAGACAAATAAATATTCTCCCACACCCCCAAAAAGAAATGGTGGAGTATTTCTAATTTTCAGTATGTATTATTTCCTGGGCCATTTTTGTATTCATCATCCAGAAAGAAAATAACAACACTGAGCAGTCACAGCTCTGTGAATACTTTCTTGCTGGGTGGCTACACACACTGCTGTTTAACAGACTTACTTGTACAGTGATTTATGCTGCTGGGACTTCCTTCCGTCTTGTTTCCTGCTACTGAATATATGCTAAATGTGTAAGAAGTACCAGGGCTCAGTTTTGAAATTTCTATGTGAGTGGTTGGGGATGTCATGTTCTCAACATCTCCCCCACTGGTGTGTATCCTGTAGGAATACCGAGGAGAAGCTCTGTCAGGATTTTTCCATGTTACGTTGACCACTGTTGTACTGATATCTGTCACACTGATGCTGTTCACTGAACTTGGCTCTGTTAAGAAAACAAAATACATATTTAGTTGTAAAGACAGTTTTGCGCTTTGTTTCATCTGAAAAATCCAAACCAGTTTAAAATGCGGCAAATTTGAAAAACCACAAACTACATTAAAATCAAGTAAAAAAACCCAATAAGAATGCAAGAAAACATTAAAATCATGAGGAGTAACTAAGATCAGGAAAAGGCAAGTGAAGTGTTTATCTGATTTATTTGGGGGAAACAATTCCACACAAATTAGGGTCCTCCTCTGCACCATGAGCAATGAACACCACTCGGTTAAAATATCTGTAATGCGGATTATTGGCCCTAGAGGCACACTGGAGGACCTAGAGAATCCTAGAGAAATCAGTTTTGCTCAAATCTGCTAAAGTCAAAATTGCAAAAATATGGACTGTATCTCTTAAAACTTTTTATCATTGTTGTGATTTATTTTCCCAGTTTGAATTAATACGATTGTTTACTATTATCAGGGCAAATACTTACTCACTGGTTAACTCCTTGATAACTCCAAGAGAATGAATGAAAACACTATCTTAGCTCATTTTTTTTCATTTTTGACAATAGCCATTCATTAAATGGTGTGCTAGATTCGACTAGAAGGAAGAGTGTAAAAGCCATGGGATACTCTTATTCTTAACTCCCCATTCGCAGTTTTGATTATTGCAGATTTGATTATTCATAGATTTAATTAAAAAAAAACTCCTCTAGGAATTTTAAGTCCTCCAGTATGTTCCTATGGTCAAATTATTTTAATAATCCCAGAACACTAAGAGGTTTCTAGAAAGGACCCCTCTAGGAATATCTAGATCCTCCAATGCAATTCCGTGGTCACTTTCCAGCAGTTCCTTTATTTATAGTTTATCACTTTCATGAGGGTTCTGTGCCCATAACCCTAGCAAATGCGATCATATTGAACTACAATGAAATGGCCACCAAAAATTGCAGAAGTTACTTGAATTGATTGTTAAAGTCCGCCAGAGCCAATATTAACAATCTACACACACAGAGGTCCCATGGTAAGTGCACAACAATATGGAAACTAACAATAGACAGCTGTGCTTTTTAGCTTCCACTGTCTTATTTTTGTGCAAAAATGAGAAAAATGGCCAAGAAAAATATTTCAAGTGTGGAAAGTACTAGCTACCTGCCTGTGTTGTCCTCACTGGTTCCATCCTCTCTTTCCCACATGGAGCATATATTCCTTTGGATATATAATCCTCCCTATGATCAAGAACCCTGATGTCAAAAGTGATCCATGCATTAAGCTGAATGTGAAAAATACACTTCCCTTCAAATCTCGCTACTCAGCTGGAGGTTGTAAGAAGGACGGGAACACATGGCCCAGGTTCCTGCTGGCACCGTATGCCAATCTAACATTGCTGACACAGATGTAGAAAAAAGGGAGTAAATGCAGCAATCATGAAGGAAGTAAGACATGGGAGAACTGTACTGCTTGGTGCTGAATATCTTGTCCGCCTTCTCTTGCCACCACTTCGTGGCCCTATGTTCACAAAAAGGATTCTACTGCTGCTTTGGAGTATGGAAGCTCTATGCCATTGTAACACTTGAATCCTACATGTATCCTCTGTACGCCTACAATTTAACATACTAATAACACCAGTTTGTTGTTTGTGAACAAACACTTATTTGTGGCAGAACAGTTTCAAACAGTAACATTTCGCTTTTTCATTTAATATAGGTTCACTTTAAAACTTCTGATTCTTTTAAAACATATACATAAAAACTATTGGGTAGCACAAAATGTAAAACACAACAAAACAAAAGCAAAACTAAATAGAAACCTCTACTTTAGAGGGGGAAAATAGGTGAGAGAAAAATGAGGAAAGCAAAATGTCCAATAATGGTAAATATGCTAGATTAAAATGATACGGCATTACTTTAAATGGATGCATCAAAATATGTAGCACATTACTGGGGAAAAAGTTATAAATACTCTGTTTAGCTCCAGTGTAAAGGTACAAAATGAATGTGTGATCCATGTTACTATCAGAATCCACCAAACCATACTTCTCCATTTAATTTACTTACTTGTATAGACAGTTGCAGTATTTGCACTTCCTTCAGTTTTGTTATCAGCTGCTAATGGATAGATGCTAAAATTGTATGATGTTCCAGGCTCTAAGTTATTAATTACTGAACTGGTTTTATCAAAATATGCATTATCAACAGAATTATTTCCTTGTATCTTTATTTGGTAAATGTAGCTGGAGGCACGTTGGTCACCATTTTCCCATGTTAATTTCACTGTTGTGGTGTTGATGATTTCGGTGTGGATGTTAGAAACTGGACTGGGCCCTGTCCAAGAAAGAATGAGTTAAATTAAAACATTTTCAAGCATCTATGCAGTAGCAATAGATAAATTAGGAGTTCTTATTCTGTGACATCTCTATCCTTTGTACTAGTCTGAGGACAAATAACGTATTGGAGAACCAACTTACTTGGAAAGTAGCATAGCATACATTCAGATGTTTTACTATCTTAAGCATATTTCAAACAAATGATAGCAAAGGTTTTGTTTCACTAGATATTCCTTCCAAGGCAGTATGCTTAATAAACATAATTCTACAGGTAAACAAGGTCAAGAACTACAAACCGTCTACAAAAAGAACTACAAAAAGGAGGTGGGGGGGGGGCTCGTTTCCATTGCTAAGCCGAAGAGCCAGCATTGTCCGTAGATGCCTCCAAGGTCATGTGGCCGGCGTGACTGCATGGAGCCCCATTACCTTCCCGCCGGAGCGATACCCATTGATTTACTCATATTTTCATGTTTTTGAACTCCTAGGTTGGCAGAAGCTTGGGCTAACAGCGAGAGATCACCCTGTTCCCTGGATTCGAACCACCAACCTTTCAGTCAGCAAGTTCAGCAGCTCAGTGGTTTGACCCCTTGCGCCACAGGTGGCTCCCTACTGAATATACTCATGTATAAATAATTTTTGAGAAGTGATTAAAAATTGACACAAAAACTTGGATCAACTTATACACAAGTTAATGTCAAATACAACCCACCCTGTACACTCTGGTCCTCTGGGGGAAGTTCACATCAACCAGCCAGAAGTTGACTGGTAACGGTCACCCGGAGGACCTTTCAAGTTTCAACTCTAAATCTAAATTTACATTTTGCTAATATGAATTATTTTTATGCGCTTTAATCTTAGGTCTTATGTACATGTATTTTAATGGTCTTATGTTTTCCCCCAATGTATTTTAACTGTGTTGTAAGCTGCCCTAGTCTCCTTTGGGGTGAGAAGGGGGATATAAATGAGATAAATACCTTGAGGACAGTTGGAGAAGTACTACCACTAAATGACTGCTATAGGTGCAACCCCCAAAACCATGTGGGAAAGATGGTGTCATCCCCAATGACGACCTACTTTACCAGAATTCTTGTGCTGCTTTACCAGAATTCTTTTGGCGTAGGGGTGGGGTGGGGGCAAGGTGAAGGGATCTACTTATAAGTAAGCAAATGGTGTAGGAGAAGTCGCTACAAGGAAAATATGAAGCATGCGGGTGGGAGAGATAGCATCACTGGGCTGCCATAAATGGAAAGGAAGACTGTCCTCACTCTCTTGCTCGCTGTCGCTACTGCTAGTGGTTGCTTTGCTTGGCTTTACCTGATTGCAGATGCCCCCCCCCCCCACCTCCTTTTTGGAAAGAGATTTAGCGGCAAAATGTGCTATCAGGTATTTTTTAAATGAAACCTATCTCTTTTGGCAGGCTTACCTAATCAATTTTAAAATATGAATTTTAAATCAATATTTGGATGATTTTATTGTGTGTTTTAATCTTGTGTTTATGGATTTTTAATCTATGTGTTTTAAATAATTTTATGTTTCTATTTATTGCAATTGAAGTCTATGTTTTACCCCACCATGAGCCCTGCGGAAAGGCAAGTAAGACATAAATGATGATATTATCATCATATAATCATCTCCAGGAGACAGAAGAGGATCTGTGAGTGAGGCAGAGATTTTTAAAATCCAACCCAATAGGAGACTGAATAATGGGGGGAGCAGCTGCAATCAGGCAAGGCAAAGGAGCCATATTTATACCTCATTCCTTCTCACCCCTTCCTCCACTCCCTTGCTTCCTTCTCTTCTTTACACACAACTTCTGTAATTTAGAAGTAGCCCTGAGTGTTTTGCCTCCACTATATACATACACATACACCTATGTGTGCAGCAGAGACAGAGAGTGAGAAAAAATCTGTAGAGAAAAGCTGCCTCAGGCTAGAAAAAGAAAAGACTGTACTATGAGCAAGGCAGGACTTACTGATGGGGCTGGTCCCTTGATGTAGCACAAGCATTTTCCCTTCTCTGCAGAATGACCCCCAACTTATCCACAGGTCATATCAAAATGCAAACTCAAAAATTGCAAGGTTAGCAATACTAAGATAATTTACTTTAATTACTTGTATAAAGAGTTGTCGTGTTTAAGTCCCCTTCAGTTTTGTGATCAGCTGCTACTGTAAAGATATTGAATGTATATGATGTTCCAGGTTCTAGATTGCTGATTTCTTCACTGGTGGTATTAGACAATACTTTTCGAGAAGTATCATTTCCCTCTATTTGTATTCGGTATGTGTAACTAGGAGCTTGTAGGTCATGGTTTTTCCAGGTTAAATTCACTGTTGTATTGCTGAAGCTTTCAATAAAGATGTAAGAAACTGGATGAGGTCCTACAAAACAAAGAAATTTTCTGTCAGTTTAAATCATCCAATTATGAGTTTGCTTCACCAGATACCCTCATATGCAACAAATGAAGAGATAGCTTCATCAAAAATCTGTCACTTTTTTAAAAAAAAAAACATACACATTTACCTGCTCTATTCATTTACTCAGGACGGAATAATTTCAGCTGAGGTCATTTACATTAAAAACACACAAATGATCCAACATGAAGAATCCAAACATGATCAGATATCACAAAAGGAACATGACAGCAATTACAGTATCAAAATATCTCGGGGGGTGGGGTGGGTGTAGTTATTGGTTAGTCAAATTCTTTGTAATACCCTGGTCAATTATCTTCCATTAATTGTCCCATTTGCTGTAACAAAATGTTTATACACAGAGGACACATGATAATAACATAAGCAAATTTTAGTGGTGTTTCATCATGCCTATACTCAACCTTGTTTGATTATGGTTGTCATACCCTTTCACTGATCTGTTCTATTTAATTGCATCAGATTGATAAAGATTCAGTCTGACATCATATGGACATTTGCTGCAGCAACTAATCCTTGCTCTGTTCTGCAGGGAGCTTGTGGGGAATGTCCATGTGATCCTAGGGGCGAACTAACGGATCTCTCATTCAGGGATACATTGAGGAATATTCAAGTCAATCTCTATTGTATTCTCTATGATAGATGTTGGGGATTTGTTGCCTCTAAGAAATCTATTCCCCATATTATTCAGGAATGACAACTATTGGATAAATATAATATCTTCAGAGTTACTGTTTCTAAAGAACTTGCCCCAGCTTCATTTGGGTGGTTATGGATTCCACTTTGGTGGATGTGCATCTGTGTCATCTGGGCTCTCAAGAGAGTGGCACTTCTTTGTCTGAAGGAATTTGTTTATGAATATATACATTGTTAAAGGAATTTTTGTCATGCCACTATATGGATGGTTCTCAGCATTCCCCAAAGAGTAATATAAGGGAGTAAGACATGGGAACTGCACTGCTTGGTGCTAAAATATCTTGTCCACCTTCTCTCGCCACCACTACATGACCTTGGAAGAAATGTTCACAAAAAAAGAATTATAGCATTGCTTTGGAGTATGAAAGTTCTATGCCATTGTAACACTTGAATCCTACATATACGTATCCTCTGAACGCCTACAATTTGACATACTAATAGCACCAGTTTGTTGTTTGTGAGCAAACAATTATTTGTGGTAGAACAATATCAAACAGTAACATTTCACTTTTTCATTTAATATGGGTTCACTTAAAAACTTCTGATTCTTTTAAAACATATACAGGAAAACTATTGGGTAGCAGAAAATGTAAAACACAACAAAACAAAAGCAAAACTAAACACAAACATCTACTTTAGAGGGGGAAATAGGTGAGAAAAAATGAGGAAAACAAAATGTCCAATAATTGTAATTATGCTATATTAAAATGATACGGGCATTACTTTAAAAGGATGCATCAAAATACGTAACACATTACTGGGGAAAAAGTTATAAACACTCTATTTATCTCCACTGTGTAAAGGTACAAAATGAATGTGTGATCCATGTTACTATCAGAAACAACCAAACCATACTTCTCCACTTAATTTACTAAATCTATCTGAATGGGTATATTCCCCTTAACTTGAATCTATGGGATTTACCCTTCGAGTGCAGAAATACTGTGACTGCTAATTCCCACCATCTTCATTTACTTACTCGTATAAATAGCTGTATCATTTGGATCTCCATGAGTGCTATTATCAGCTGCTACTGAATAGATGATGAATTTATACAATGTTCCAGGCTCCAGGCTGTTAATGACAAATCTTTCGGTAGAAGAATTTTCATTTTTAGAAGTGCCATTTCCTTCTATTGTTATCCAGTAAGTGTAACTAGAATTAGCTGGATCACGGTTTTTCCACTGTAATGTTACTGTGTCAGTTGTGAGATTTTCAGCAGAGATGTCATACACTGGGGTGGGTTCTTTTAAGGAAAGATGGGGAAAAGAGTTTTGTCCAAAATATGAAAAAGTTATCACAATATTGAATGTGTACAGCACCAAGTCTTTTCAAATGAATACAGCATCATTACACTTTAATTACCTAATAGTTCTCTTAATAGATTTTCATTACAACAACAACAAATCAGGATTTTTGAATTGTTGTTGTTGAGTGCCTTCAAGGCATTTCCAATTTATGACAATCCAATGGTGAATGCAAAATTTCTTCAAGGTGGGATTACATTGCTTTCTGCTAAGGCTGAGGTTATAACTTGCTCAAGTTTGGTATATGTGAATTTGGTAAAAGAGAAACAAAATCCAATAAAATAAGAAGGAAAACAAATTGAAATCTATTGTTGAAGGCTTTCAAGGTTGGAATCACTGGGTTGTTTTAAGTTTTTAGGGCTGTGTGGCCATGTTCTAGGAGCCTTCTCTCCTGAGGATGCCTGCCACAGATGCAGGTGAAACGTCAGGAGAGAGGGCTTCTAGAACATGGTCATACAAACTGAAATAAAATGTTCACAATTTCACTTGGATACTGAGGATGAAATCAGATTGACACGGGCTCTTAGACACTGGTTTGAAAGTGTCATTTCCTGTTTAATTTGGAAGCAGTTGTTTGTTATACTCCAGAAACCTAGCTTTTATGGCTGCTACAATCTATGATTGAAACTCTATACGTATTAATTGAAAACTATAGCAAAATGTGCTGCAGAATGTCCTGCAAAAACAAAGCTTTTGCAGTTTATTAAACCTTTTTCATGTTTTTATGATAGAACCAGTTAGGAAATGACATTTATAACCCCAGAACAAAAATTGTGTTACACAGTGTTATTTTAGTACAACAAAGTATACAAAATTGTACAGATCTCTAAGAAATTACAAAGCATTTGTGCAAAAGAGCTATGGTTGGTTCTATGTATCCACAAATTCTGTGTCCACAGATTCAACTATCCATGGCTTGAAATACTCCAGAACTATATATTTACATATCCAAAAGTCAAACCTTAATTTTACCATTTTATATTGGGGATACTATTTCTCTGCAATTGTATATAAAAATATTTGTGCATTCATAGATGTTGGTATCCATGTGGGGTTCTAGAACCAAACCCAACCAATATCAAGGGGCCTACTATATACTGTGCATGTACAAAATACCTTTGTGGTTAACATGAAAATCTGAACTCAGCACCTCCTTTAATTTGATTTACTTACGTGTATAAGCAGTTATATTCTCAGGTTCTCCTACAGTATGATTATCAGCTGCTACTGGACAGATGCTAAATGTGTACTGTATTCCAGGTTCCAAGTTCCAAATTACTGCACTGGTGTTATTAGAAAATTCATTCCGGGGAGCGCTCTTTCCACTTATATTTATTCGGTAAGTATAGTTAAAAACACGTAGGTCATCATTTTTCCATGTTAAGCTCACTGTTGTGGTGCTGATGTCTTCAATACGGATGTCAAAAACTGGATTAGGTCCTGATTAAGAAAGAGACTGTGAATTAAAGTATTCCCTCCCTGTGCTGAATGGCCATTATTAACCGATAATTTGATTAGCTAATATTTTCTCTGTCTGATCATTATTTATTCCATAGTGGGATTTACAGGTAGTCTCTTTCCTAAGTAAGCGGCTTCTCAGGTGTAGAGAATTATTTGCAGTTTAGCACAATCTAGCAACTGAAGCCATGTTCACTTTTAGATGTGAATTTCTCAAAACCCTTCTCTATCCCGACAGGGGGGCTCACGTAGTGCCTCAACAACAATTACCTAAACATTTCAAAAACTGCAACATATTAAATAGAGTTAATACAGATTAAAATTAAAAACTTAGAAAACACGCCATCCAAATTCATGGTCTGGGTCTGATCTATGGCTCTCAGGTGTATGCCTGACTTCAGTCGTCCCCAGTGACAATAGATTGGCCCCCTTCCTCCTGGTTTTTAGAAAAAAGGTCAGGACCTGGTTATGGCACGAAGCATTTGGGAGATTAGTGCAATGTGGAACTGACACATAGCAGCATGAATTGACGACTGTGGGATGAGGTTTTATGTTTTTAACTATTTTAATTTTATTTTTTCTTCGTGGACTCTGCGAATGCACACTTGTGGAGAGACTGCGCCTGCTCCAACGGAAACTTCTACATTTTAAAACTTTTGAAGTTTTGGTGGTAACCCCGCCCAGCCCCGGCAGGGGATAAAAGGGCGCCCCGCGCACACCGATCCAATTCCTTTTTTTCCACCGCACGGCTCGCTTCGGTACTTCTAGTTGGATACTGATAGTTGGATAGTGATTCTAGTGATTCTCTTAGAGTTCTTTCCTCAAGTTGTTGACTAGATTATGTCAACAACTCGCTTCAAAAGATGCGCGAACTGTCCGAAGAAGATCCCTGACTCGGACAAGCACGCTCTTTGCCTCTTGTGTCTCGGGGAGGCACACATTACCTCTTCGTGTCGTCATTGTCAATCTTTGACGGCACAGTCCCGTAAGAACCGGGTCCATCGACTTCGATACCTTCTGTACCAGCAGACGTTGGCTCCGGTACCTTCAACATCGACATCGGCGTCGACGTCAGCCGCGGTATCCAGGCCTTCGACATCAGCTTCGACCTCGAAGGCATCGACAACAACACCTGTCGATCCCTCAGCGGAGGCCGGGCCTCGCCAAACAAGGGTGAAGAAGGCCGCGCAGAAAAGGCCGAGAGCAGCTATGTCGATGACTTTGAGGGCCTCAGTGTCGGCAGCCTCTAAGGCTACAAAGCCTACAAAACAGAAGGCTCCATGCACGGTCACTACCGAGACCGTATGCATCCGACACTCGTCGACCAGCTCCGTGGCGTCGGTGAGATCGATCAGGTCCACGAGGTCGACGTCGGCGACTCCGCCATCTTCCACGGCGGTTCGCATTGCCTTTCGCCGCTCTCAAGAAGAGTCTCGGCGTGCTTCCACCTCATCCTCCGTCCCGCCCACCCCGGGCAAGTCAGTGTCAAAGTCTGCTCAACCACCAGCAAAGAAGAAGAAGGTGATGCCGCCTCCGTCCTCCTCTTCTTCTTCTTCCCGGAAGCAAGCCACCGCCTCCTCGGCCACCTCGTCGGCGAGGTCATCGCCGTTGCAGCCTGCAGAGCCCCAGCTGGCCCCGCAGCCGATTCAGGAGCCGCAACCTTTGCCGGAGCAGCCTTTGGAGCAGCCCGTGTCCCCGGTGATCTCGGTGGACACGGTGATCGAGGCACCAACTCGCCATGTGACTGCCAGACAGGAGCTTTTCCCGTCGGTCACAACTTCGACGACTGTGACAGCCAGACAGGAGACTTCTCCAGTGCTGGAGACTCCGGAAAGGGGCAGACAAACTATGAGATTGGCCCGTGCCATCCAGGCCTCGGCCTCAAAAGCCCCCCCAGTGGCTCCTCTGCAGCTCCCAAGTCGGGATGTCTCCTCATCCCCTCCTCCCCAATCCCTGGCTGCTGATGATGAAGAAGAGGAGGGCGAGTTACCGGGATCGGTACACTCGGGATCGGTGTTGTCTCTCGGGATTGAGAGATCGCCTACCCACGATGCCTATGAGGCGGACCCTCCATCTCCCACTGACAATGTCCGAGCCTTTGCGGATCAAATGGCTCGCATGGCTGATGCTTTAGGCCTGGAGGTCAAGCAGACTACTAAAGCAGTGCTGGACCCGGTGTTCAAAAGGGTGCAAGCGGAGTCCCCACCCGCTCCTCTCCTACCCTTCCTTCCCTACCTCCTTGAGGTGATCCAAGGCTCTTGGAAGACCCCCTCCTCCATCCCTCCAACCTCCAAGAAAATTGAGTCTTGGTACAGAACGGACGATGAGGGCTTGGAGTGGCTGAAACACCATCCCGACCCTAACTCGGTGGTCGTGAAAGCAGCTCAGGGGTTCGGAAGGCAGTCATCGGCGCCGTCCGACCGTGAGGGAAGAGGTTCGACGCAGTGGGCAGGAAGCTTTACTCCGGTGCCCTCTTGCTGGCCCGCATGGCGAACTATGGGGCGTGTATGGGGGCTTACCAACAAATTCTCTGGGAGAAAGCTGAACCCTTTTTCCAGAGGATGTCTGCCGAGGACCATGCTGCCATGACCACCCTGGCCCAAGAGGCGAACTCTCTGGCGCATCACCAGATGCAGATGGCCAAACACACGGGGGACACTGCGGGCAAGATGATTGCTCACGCTGTGGCAATCAGGAGGCATGCCTGGCTGAGATCATCTGGCCTCTCTACCTCATCGAGGCAGGTGATCGAGGACCTTCCGTTCGATGCCCTGGGGCTCTTCAACGCCAGGACGGACGACAAGCTGAAGTCAAATCACGACTTCAAGACTCTGGCCTCCAAGTGCGGGTTTGAAAATCAAAACCAAGCACAAAGAACCAGATGGTTCCAATACAAACGCCGGCACACGGTCCTGTACCGTACCATTCAGTACCGTCATCCAGCCCGTCCCCTGCAGACCTCCCAACAAACCCACCCTCAACAACCCCAACAGCAACGGAGGCAGCACCAGCAGCAGCGTTCACGTTCTCGCCAGGCTTCAGGAGGCAACCAGGCCAGGCGCCGCATTTGACGCCTTTGTGGACGATACCGTTTGCAGTTTCGTTACCGATGTTGTTCCCATGTCCCTCCCAATGGTACCCGCCCTCATCCTTCCATCCGGCTCGACACCGTTCGGAGATCGCCTGACAAACTTTCTCCCTGCATGGGAAAATATCACCTCAGATGCATGGGTTTTAAAGATTGTCGACGAAGGCTATGCATTGGAGTTCGAAGAGCTTCCACCAACAGGACTGATTGTCGAGACCGAGCCTTCCTCGGCCATCCTGACAGAGGTCGATACCTTACTCCTGAAAGGGGCAATTTCCCCTCTCCCGGACTCTCAAAACCATCGAGCCTTCTTCTCCAGATACTTTACTGTCCCAAAGCCGGATGGCTCCCTTCGCCCCATCCTCGACCTCAGAGACTTAAACTCCTTCATCGAACCTCAAAGGTTTCGGATGGTGACGGTATCGTCCATTCTCCCTCTCCTCAGATACGGGGACTTCTTCGCATCCGTCGATCTCCGGGACGCTTACTTCCATCTCTCAGTAAGAAAACATCACAGGCGCTTCCTGGCCTTCAGGGTAGCGGGACAGACGTACGTGTTCAACGTCCTCCCTTTCGGTCTCGTGACGGCACCGAGAACTTTCACCAAATGCATGTCGGTGGTCGCAGCGGCCCTCAGAAGGGAAAAAATCCGCATTTTTCCTTACTTAGACGACTGGTTGTTGGCAGCACGCTCCCCGGACCTCCTGCGAGCGCAGGTGGCAAGGACACTCTCCCTCCTCGAGGACCTGGGCCTCCAGTTGAACGAGGAGAAATCCCAGCTCGAGCCCACCACTTGCATAAAGTTCATCGGCGCCATGTTCGATTCTCTCTCCCAGACAGTCTTCCTTCCGGAGGAGAGATTCAGGGCTCTTCGAGCCAAAGCACTCAAGGTGCGTCGCTCCCGAGTGGTCCCGGCAAAGCAGATACAGGTCCTCCTCGGACACATGGCCTCCACGGTGATGGTGACGCCGTTGGCAAGGCTCCGCTTCCGCCCCCTCCAGAGATGGTTCTTGGACCACTTCAACCCCATGCGAGACAGCGCCGCAAAGCGCCTGTGGTACCGAGGTCGGTAAAGGACTCGTTGAACTGGTGGATGAACCGACAGCATGTCTGCAAGGGCATTCCTTTTCACCCAGAGCCCCCAGCCGTCACGATCACGACGGACGCCTCGATGTTCGCATGGGGATGCCATACAGGAGAACTCTCGGTACACGACCTCTGGTCTCCTCAGGAAAGGCAGTCCCATATCAACTACTTGGAACTGCTGGCAATCTTCAAAGCCCTGAGGGCATTTGCCCTCCTGGTCACGGGGAAGTCTGTCCAGATCCTCACGGACAACATGGTGGCAATGTTCTACGTGAACAAGCAGGGAGGAACGGGCTCGAGAAAACTTCTCAAGCTGTCACTGGAACTTTGGGACTGGTGTGTAGCCAGGTCGGTGTCGATAACAGCCTTACACCTCCCGGGCGAAGCCAACGTCGAGGCGGACGTACTCAGCAGAACCAGGGCAACATCCCACGAGTGGAGGCTGAACCCCGACGTACTGGCGGAGATCTTCAGGGAATGGGGCCTCCCAGCCGCAGATCTCTTCGCGTCGCCGCAAAACGCTCAGCTTCCTCAGTTCGGTGCTCGACTTGCTCCGAACACGGTACCGGGGTGTCTCGGAGACGCGTTCCTGTTGGACTGGTCGAAGCATCTGCTTTACCTCTTCCCTCCCTTCCCGCTCATCCCGAGGGTGATCGAGAGGATCCAGTCGGCGCGAACAGACTGCATCTTAGTGGCGCCGGAATGGCCACGACAACCGTGGTTCTCGGTCCTTCTTCAGTTGTCCGAGGGGCGGATGAAACGCCTTCCACTTCGGCAGGACCTGCTCTCCCGGGAAGACGGTCAGCTTCTCCACCCCGACCTCGCTTCTCTGCATCTTTCAGTGTGGAGGATCCGGTGTTGAGATCCCTGTGTCCGGGAGTTCTCCCAATCCTGGAGGCAGCTCACAAGCCAGCAACCAAAAAGTGTTACTCAGCGTGCCTTAGCCGTTTCCAGGCCTTCCTCTCCGAGAAAGGCCTAGACAATCATCGACCTTCGGTACTGGCGATCCTCTCGTTCTTGTTGCACCTTACCGAACGAGGCTTGTCGCTATCTTCACTCAAGTCTCACTTGACAGCCATATCGTGGCAACTTCAACGGACAGGAGAAGCTTCCCTGTTTAAGGATAGCTCCGTGAGGTCTTTCCTGCGGGGTTTCAACAACCTACACCCCCCGGTCCGTTCTCCGACTCCGGGTTGGGACCTCGACCTCGTGCTGGCTCGGCTCGCTCAACCGCCTTTCGAGCCATTGTCTTCCATTGAACTTCGGTTGTTGTCATGGAAGGTGGCCTTCCTGGTCGCAATCACCTCAGCCCGTCGGCCGTCGGAACTTGCAGCTTTGCGGGTGGACGAACCCTATTTTGTTGTCCACGGGGATAGAGCAGTTCTCCGCACAGATGTGACATTCCTCCCTAAGGTCGTGTCCCCCTTCCATGTTAATGAAGACATTGTCCTTCCCTCGTTGTGTCAGTCCCCCTCTACCCCGAGGGAAAGGAGACTTCATATGCTTGATGTGCGGAGAGCATTGCTGTGCTATAGGGACAGGACTGCTCAGTCTCGAAGGTCGCAGAGACTTTTTGTTGCATATGCCCTCGATAAGGTGGGCCTGCCGATCACGGCGCAACGCTTGTCGCACTGGATTACCTCGACCATCGAGCTCTGTTACCGACTGGCTCGACAACAACCCCCCTCGGTCGTCCGGGCTCGGTCGACCAGGGCTATGGCGGCATCAACAGCCTTTCTTAAGGGGATTCCCCTGGACGCTATTTGCAAAGCGGCCATTTGGAAGAATCCTCAGACATTTGTGTCGCATTATAGACTGAACACCAGGTATACACCTGACATGGCCTTTGGGAGGGCAGTTCTGGGCTCATGCCCGTCTTGAGCTTCGCAGAGAGTTTCTATCGGTACCGAGTGTTCCTTCGATACCGTGTGTTACTGTGAATGTTATTACCATGTTGTTACTTGAATTTTTTGCCGGTGAATGTAACTGCACCTTTACACTTGATGCCTTATTGCCTGAGGCACAGGCAACCATTGCACTAGAGCCTAATGGGCTCATCACGGGTATTCTGTATCTTTATCGATGGCTTTGCCTTGCAAATGTATTGTGCACTTGTTAACAAACTGTTTTTGTATTACTACTTAATGTGCCCTCATTATAATGAGTGTCTTCGATAATCACCATGTGGTTTATTTCAAGGGTCGAAAGTTTACTCAGTTGTTGGTCACCCTCACGTGACCGGGAGGATCACGTACTCCCATAAGTTTATGCACTGTGCCCTTCTTTGGAAGTGATTGCAACCTCTTGTTATGCACTGTGCCCTTCTTCGGAAGTGATTACAATCTCTTGTTGGTAACTGTTTTTGCACTTAATAAAATTGTTTGGCCCTTGACTTCAATGGTCGGTTTGCTTCTTCCCGCCTCCGGGACCTGAGCTTGCTAGTCTCCACAAGTGTGCATTCGCAGAGACCACGAAGAAAAATGGTAGGTTACATACCTGTGACCATCTTTCTTCGAGTGGTGCTCTGTGAATTCACACTAACCCGCCCAGCCTCCCCTCTAAGCAAACCTCCAATTTCTCGCTACCGTAGCGGCGTAGGAATTGGATCGGTGTGCGCGGGGCGCCCTTTTATCCCCTGCCGGGGCTGGGCGGGGTTACCGCCAAAACTTGAAAAGTTTTAAAATGTAGAAGTTTCCGTTGGAGCCCGCGCAGGCGCAGTCTCTCCACAAGTGTGAATTCGCAGAGCACCACTCGAAGAAAGATGGTCACAGGTATGTAACCTACCATTATTTGTTTTATCTATTTTAATATTTGCATTGAAATGTGGCAATTAATTTTGCAAATTTGAAGGCACTCTGGGGTGAGATAGAGTGGGATAGAAATATAGTAAATAAATATTTGTGAAAATATAATTCTTGTGAAAATCACATATCTAAATATACTTACGTGTATAAACGATTATGTCTTCTGAATCTCCCTCAGTGGCATTATCCGCTGCTACTGCAAAAACTTTGAATGTGTACTGTGTTCCAGGTTCCAGGTTCCAAACTTCTATATTGGTATTGTTGGAAAATTCAAGCCTGATAGTATCATTTCCTTCAATTTTTATTCGGTACGTATAATTAGAAGCATCCGAATCACTCCTGTCCCACTTTAAAGTTACTGTAGTATTGCTGATATTTTCAACACGGAGCATAGAAACTGGACTGGGTTCTATTTAGGAAAGGAAGGGAAAGTGATATTTTTACTTCAATGGAAGTGTTGTTGTTCATTCGTTCAGTCGTCTCCGACTCTTCGTGACCTCATGGACCAGCCCACGCCAGAGCTCCCTGTCGGCCGTTACCACCCCCAGCTCCCTCAAGGTCAGTCCAGTCACTTCAAGGATGCCATCCATCCATCTTGCCCTTGGTCGGCCCCTCTTCCTTTTGCCTTCCACTTTCCCCAGCATAATTGTCTTCTCTAGGCTTTCCTGTCTCCTCATGATGTGGCCAAAGTACTTCAACTTTGTCTCTAGTATCTTTCCCTCCAGTGAGCAGTCGGGCTTTATTTCCTGGAGGATGGACTGGTTGGATCTTCTCGCAGTCCAAGGCACTCTCAGAACTTTCCTCCAACAATGGAAGTACATTTCTCAATTTTAGATGGTATAAAGGGCACTGAAACTTCAATTACAAAAAACCATCCCCTTTTATTCAGGGTGGTAGATATCATTAAAATAAAAAATTGAAAAATCTTTACATTTTGCTGAATATACTTTTAATTGTAACAGTTTAGTACCACAAGTGTCACACAATGTTTAATCTTTTGGAAGATATATCCATTCGTTTTTAACTAATATTCTATCATTGTGACTAGAAGCAATGAGATTGTTATTGGCAGTGTATCTAACTGAACGTCTTAAGTGGAGTTTAGTTTATGGCAAATTTATCTTATTGGCGTACAGTCTATTTTTGCTTAACTTGTGAGGAAAGGAACAATTTGCATTTATAATCTTATTGCCCCTCCTACTTGAGCAATCAAACCAGTATATAGTGTTAGACCATATACAGAATCAAAGTCTATTTGTCCTTAGGAGACTTGATTTGACTTCGCATGCTTGCATATTGTTGTAACTACAAGAATGTTGTCCTTCCAATTTGTTACATTCTTTTCTAAGGTAGCTCCTTGTACTTTAAATTTCCTATTATATTTGTTATACTACATTTGGCATTGTTCAATATATATTTACTGATTGTTCTCTCTCTGTGTGTGCATCATTTGTTACCTATACTGTAAACATTATCTTAATTTATTTTGCTACTCTTGAGTATTTTTTGTTTATGGTTTTGTGATGGTCTTGTGAGGTTTACAATATGCAGATGACACAATAGTACCAGCAAAGTATAGCAAAGACTTAAGAAATTCAAGGAAGAAACTGCAAAGGAAAATATATTTAAGAAAACAAAAAGAATGGCCACAGATGAGTTACATAGTTTTAAAACGGATGATGAAGATATTGAAAAAGTCGAAATCTCTATACCTTGGCACAGTTGAAATTAAGACATGGCTTTGTGTTTAGTGAAAGGAAAAAAGGCATTATTTGGACATGAAAAGTAGTCAACCTGAAGAAATAAGTGATCTCGCCAGGGACAGATGGTTGGTCCTCATAACAGATTATCCACTCACCACAGAGAGTTGGATCAAATTCCACAATGGCGCCTGTTTGACCACTGGCACAAGCCAACAAAAAACCTTGTGGTTCCTTAAGCTTTAAAAAAATTATGGTGGCATTTACTGTCACACAAAACCACTTATTTATAAAGACTCTGTTGCAACTGATTTCATAAACTGCTGTCTTTTTCGTGGTTGGCTTGACCAAATGGTGACCAACCTGACTATTTGGTACACAGTTTACAAATACTACCAGGCACTTCATGGCTCTACACTGACCATATAATACAATTCAAACTGCATTATTTTGTAGTGTACCTCCTTGTTTCCTAACACACAGATCACCTTGTTGGTTATGAAAACTCAACAACCCACTTCATTTCTCTAGTTCTTATGCTTTTCTAATAATCAAAGTAAAACTTTCATTTATACTGAAATGGAAACAAGTTGTATCCAAGAAGCATGTACTTTGCAAAGAGTAGTTATTCAGTCTAAGTCGACATAGCAATACTGTTTTCAATCCCCTTCCTATAATTCTTAGAATGGCAGAATCAAAATTTGGAGGACATAATTGCTATATTAAGAAAGAGAGCACACATAGTTAAACCACTGCTTTTAACTGTGGAGGTCAGAGCTGCTTTTTAGAAAGATTAACAAATTAACCTAGATGATTTTTTAAACATGATTTCTTGAAGAATAAACTATTTTTTCAGCCAACATCAAAAACAAATCTCCTCACAGCATTGAGGGAACTAATGTTTAATATATTTTAAGAATACCATCTCTTTTTTCCTCCGTGAAAGTTTATTTCGCAAACTTGTCTCTACTGACACCTTTCTAGAAAATGGCTTTAAAAGACTTATTTTGGTCTTTCTATGACACAAGGTCTAAAATTTCCCACTAAACCCGAAAAATTATACATTAAACTCAGCTTCCTATGGATGCCTCAGCTGATGCACTTGGTAGCTGAAAAGTTCTCTTCCACAGAATTTCACTTGTAGCAGAAAGCTACTGGTCATAACATCATCCCAAATGCAAGGGAAGTATTGATTTAACAAGGAGGACCACATAAACTGCCTTTGGACCAGTGTGTGGATGTGTATACACATGTGTTTGCCCATACAGCAGCCTTTATTAGAAAAGGCCAATGTTGTGATGTTTTTGTATATGAAAAGAGAAAGGGGAAGAACAAATCAAGGGAACATGCTCTATGAGGAAAGAAGTTATTTAGTATTTAGTTTAGGGAACAAAGGAATGACAATAGAAACATATAAAATTATGGATGATGCCGGGGGCAAGGATCATAGTCACCTCTCTCCCAACCTCATCTCTGGTAAAATCAAATGTTATTTAAATATCCGAGAAGCTTGAAATTTAGGGGGGCACACAACAAACACGTAGAAGATATTTAAACTATGAAATTTGTTTGCACAAGGTGCAAAGAGGGATGCAAATTTAAATTTAATAGGCGATTTTGCAAATAAATGGATAGTAAAGTCTATCAATGCATAGAGAATAGCATAGAGAAGGGTACCACTGCAGTGCTTGTTTTTTTGTCTATGCCCCTATTCAGAAGATTTCGCCTCACTTTCTGTCCCTGTGACAATTCGATTTTGAAAAATGTGGCTTGTTGTGGAAACAAAGGGGCCGACCAAGGGCAAGATGGATGGATGGCATCCTTGAAGTGACTGGACTGACCTTGAAGGAGCTGGGGGTGGTGACGGCCGACAGGGAGCTCTGGCGTGGGCTGGTCCATGAGGTCACGAAGAGTCGGAGATGACTGAACGAATGAACAACAACAACAAAGTCTATCAATGAGTACCAGTCATGAGAGATTCATACCAGCTTCAGTATTAGAGACAGAATAGCAGTAGAAATCTTTATACAGGCAGTTCCCAAGTTACTAGATTTGTAGATTTACTAGTTGTTTACTAGTTGTAGATTTACTAGTTGTTTACTAGTAGTTACTAGTTGTAGATTTACTAGTTGTTTACTAGTAGTTACTAGTTGTAGATTTGTTCTTAAGTCGAGTTTATGTTAGTTGGAACAGGTACTTTATTAAGTATAACTTCAGTCAAATAAAAATACACGTGTGTGTGTGCATGTGCACACGCGCAAGCTTTGTATAGCATAGAGAAGGGTACCACTGCAGTGCTTGTTTTGTTGTCTGTGCCCCTATTCAGAAGATTTCGCCTCACTTTTTGTCCCTGTGACAATTCGATTTTGAAAAATGTGGCTTGTTGTGGAAACAAAGATTGGCTTTAAAGCTTCAGTGGGGACATCTTTCTCCCATGACTCTAGATTTCTCTCACTTTCTATTGTCTCACCCCGTTCTTAGCTATGCGTCATTTGTAAGTTGGATGCTTGTAACTCAGGGACTGCCTGAATTATACAGTATTTTAAAGAACACCACAGTGAATATTTATCTCCACACAAATGAATATACTCACTTGTAAAAACGGTTATGTGCTCTGCATCTCCTTCAGTTTGATTATAAGTTGCTACTGGATAGATTCTGAATGTGTACGATGTTCCAGGATTCAGGTTCTCTAATACTTTACTGGTGGCATTAGAAAATTCATTCCTGGGAGGAGTGTCTCCTTCAATTTGTATTCTGTACGTGTAACTAAAGGCATTAGAATCACTATTTTTCCATTCCAAAGCTATTGTGGAATTCGTGATAGTTCCTGTTTGGAGATCAGAAACAGGACTGGGCTCTGTTTTGGAAAGAGAAAGAGGTTATCACTACGAATGAATGAAAAAGTTGTCACAATATTTGTGTAGTGCTATAATAGGTATGTTTAGCTTGAAGAAGAGAAGGTTGAAAGGGAACATAATAGCCACGTTTAAATACTTGAAAGAATGTTACATTGAGGAGGGGTAAAGCTTGTTTTTTGCTGCTCTGAAGACTAGGGCCCCTTCTACACAGCTGCATAAAATCCAGATTATCTGATCTGAATTGGATTATACAGCAGTGTAGACTCATATAATACAGTTTAAAGCAGATAATGTGGATTATCTGCTTTGATAATCTGGATTATATGGCAGTGCATAAGGGGCCCTAAGACAGGGAGCAATGGATTCAGACTGCAGGAAAAGATAATCCACCTAAACATTATAAAAACTTCCTGATGGTAACAGCTGTTTGGCAGTGAAAAATGCTGCCTCAGAGTGTGGTTCAGTGTCTTTCTCTGGAGTTTTTAAAGCAGAGGCTGGATGACCGTCTATCAGGAATGCTTTGACTGAGTGTGGCTGCATGGCAGGGGGTTGGACTGGGTGAACATTGGGGTCTCTTCCAAATCTATAATTCTACGAAGTCTATTGAAACAGTTATGGGTATATTGCTATTTCATTAGCAGAATTTCCCCCCCAATAAAACATTGTCATCACAACAATAAGAAACAGGTGATGCTAATACTTCAAAATAATCATCTTTTCCTTACATGAACCTCCATCAAGTCAGCTTTTATATGCAAGAATAAACCAGAACAGTGTTGGCTGATTATGTATTGTCAAAGGCTTTCATGGCCGGAATCAATGGGTTGTTGTAGGTTTTTTTGGGCTATATGGCCATGTTCTAGAGGCATGCCTTGGCTGATTATGTTTGTTGAGACAATATACTTTCAGTTTTGGATGGGCATAAAAAAATCAGGATCACATCAGGGTTTGAATCCAGTCCTGTCAGTCCTATGCCATTGCCATGTGGCCTAGGAGAAAGGGCTGACAGGGAATGGCGAGCTGTGCCGACTTCTCCACCATGTGGTGTTAGAAGGCTGTTCCCCTCTCATTCCCTTTCTTGAGCTTCTCCTATTTAATTTTGTTTGAAATTTGTTACATAGGTGGCAGGGCAAATTTCACTATATTTTGGCCCCATCTGACTGTTTATAGCCCACTGTTTCTAGCCAGAAATGTCTTTTCCAAGCATTTTTCAGGTTTACTCCCCGAATAGCAAAATGCATATCCTGGGCCTCAAACATCTGCATGGGGCAATGGGACATGGCCCCTAGACATGGGAAATATTGTGAACAATAACAACAAAATTTACAAAGTAATTTCCATTGATTAGCATCATAAGAAAACACAATGAATCATAAAGTAATTTAATAAACAATTACATGCAGAAAAGCTATGGTGCTCTGATACACTGCAGTGAGTTGTCTTTATCTATGGGTTTTATTATTTATTTATTTATTTATTTATTTATTTATTTATTTAAAGCATTTATATTCCACCCTTCTCACTCCGAAGGGGACTCAGGGCGGAGCACAACATATAAATGGCATACTAGACCATACACATACAAAAACATTAAAATAACTTATCTTGACGTTAAAATCCTCTAGTTAAAACTGTCTCAACAACCATATCGAACTTGGTTGGGATACTAAGAGTTCCTATTGCCGCCTCATTACACAGTCCCAAAAGCTCAGTTCCACAGCCATGTTTTTATCATCCTTCTAAAGGACAAGAGGGAGGGGGCTGACCTGATCTCAGTAGGAAGTGAGTTCCATAGCTGAGGGGCAATCACTGAGAAGGCCCTGTCTCTCATTCCCACCAAATGCATGTGTGATGGTGGCAGGACTGAGAGCAGGGCCTCCCCAGAAGAACTTAATCTCTGTGGTGGTTCATGGGGGGGGGGGAGGGATACATTAGGACAGGTAAATTGGGTAAATGAGTTTTCCACTCATTGATTCCACTGTTTTGAAAATGCACCCCCTCCAAAATAAATCCAAAAGCAAACATTGATCTTGCTGTTTTATATAAGGGATACCATTTTACTATGCCACCTCTATAAATAAAAATGTAATGTTCGTTTGTGGGATTAATATAACTCAAAAACTACTGGATGAATAGACATCAAATTTGGACACAATACACATATCAGGCCAACAAGTGATGATCACTCATAAAAACACTTAAAGCAGAAGACACTTAAAAATAAAAAAAACCCAAAATACATTACAACGCATGCGCAAAACCACATATATATATATACACAAACACACATATATACACATATACAAAAATATACACACACATATACACACACAAAACACATATACACAGACTGGGCCACAGCAATATGTAGCAGGGGACAGCTAGTAGTATATAATGAGATTTCAGCATCCACAGATTCTGGTATCCATCGGGAGTCCTGGAACCAAACCCTGGTGGATACTGAGAGCTCACTGTACAGACTTCATTACATAATTTTTTGGTTTGTTTCCATTTGTGAAAGTGTAGAATATGCCTGTTTGATTAACTTGGTTATCGGAACCCATCATATCTTATAATTTAATGTACTTACTTGTAAAAGCAGTAGTATTTCTTGGCTCTCCCAGAGTATGTCTATCAGCTGCTACTGGAAAGATGCTGAATGTGTACAATGTGGCGGGTTCCAAGTCACTAATCGTGGCACTGGTGGTATCAAAGGATGCATTCCAATTTGTCCCATTTCCCTCTATTTGTACTAAATATTTGTATACATTTAGGCCATCATATTTCCAAGTTAAACTCACATTTGTAGCAGTAATGTTTTCAACATGGAAGGCAGAAACTGGACTAGGTTCTGTTTAAGAAAGGGGGAAAAGAGGTTGTATCCATATTATTGAAGGAAAAAATTCCCATTTTAGATGGTGCTATCAGAAATGAACTATGATGAAATAAAGAGTATTTTAGTTGTGCTCCAGTTCTGTACATTTTTATGGTTAACACAAACATGTAAAGGAATTTAATTTACTCTTGAGGCACAGTTTTGTTCTACACGTTCTAGCTAATAACCAAAGAGTATTGTAATGTATGAATGGAATCGTAGATTATACAGTTATTATTCAATTCAACAATATATCTCCTTCTTTATTCTATGAATGAATAATTCTAAAAAATATAGAAATCAATTTTTTAAACTGCCAAATTAAAATAAAGGGCAATCATGAGAAGAATCCATTACCTCTACTGCAATTTTAGAAGCAGAAAAATAAAATCAAAAAGCATTATTATTAAGGAACTATTTGGGAGACTGTAACTTTGACACTGAATCCTATGATAATCATTGTACGGATCATACAGGATTTACATGTTTCTTGGAACAACTTGCTTACTTGTTGTAATGAATTTGCAGCATGTTTCAGTAGAATTCATAAAATAAATAATATATTCTGTGCCAGGATCAAGTGCAGATATTGAGCCATTGGATATTGAAGTATTTACTTCTGTTCCATTTGCAAAAGTTACACTGCTTATATTAAAGTCAACAGGCAACTTGATATGAATTTCCGTTGTTGATATTGATATTTCTGTATTATCAATGAAACTGCAATTGTTGGAACCTATGTAGGAAAAAAGAAGAAAATTACTACATACATTTTATGTAACTAAATGTTCTACTACTAAGCATACAGGTTGAGCATCCCTTCTCCAGAACCAAAATACTCTAAATAAAAAAAACAACAACAAATGGCTGAAATAGTTATACCTTTGCTTTCTAATGGTTCAATGCACACCAAATCATTAATGAAATGTATATTATATAAAATATCTTGAAGACATATGTATAAACTATATATCAAATATAAATGAATTTCATTTTTTGATTTGGATTTAATCTTCAATATTTGTATGCATGTATATATAAATATAGATCGTTCAAAATCCAGTTAAGAATAAAATTCCCAACCCAAAGCACTCCTGATCTCAAAGCGTTACAGATTTTTTGTGCGTGTGTCAGGAGCGACTAGAGAAACTGCAAGTCACTTCTGGTGTGAGAAAATTGGTTGAATGAAAGAACTGTGCCCAGGGGACACTCAGATGCTTTACCATCCTGTGGGAGGCTTCTCTTATATCCCTGCATGAGAAGCTGGAGCTGACAGGGGGAGCTCACCTCGCTCTCCTCATATTTGAACTGCCGACCTTTCGGTCAGCAGTCCTGCCGGCACAAGGGTTTACCCCACTGTGCCACCGGGGGTGCAATAAGGATAATCAACATGTGTATAATTTATCATCATCATCATAAACGATGACAATAACAAAAACAACAGGATAAGAAGACATGCTTCTAAATTTCCCAAGAGTGTCAGGGCTGGTGTCTGTGTTGTCCAGTTCTGGGATTCAAAGAAGACAAGGGACTAGAGTCTCCTGATTGTGTCCAGACAAAAGCGGCATTGCACAAATACTGTAGTAGGGCATTATCATGACAGTAGCAGACAAAAAGAAGGGCAAGGTATTGAGTGAGCCATACTCTCACTGGCCTTCTGTTTCCTAAAAGTACTGAGCACATGTGGCAATTACACTATGAACCGACTACAGCTTATGAGGCAGGACCAAAGATGCCTTTGCTATTTACAAAAGCAACACATTTAATATTAAAGGAAACATGACTTCTCATACTAGGAAACTACTTAATGCTACTTAACCTCAGGTAAAAGATTAACTGCACTACTGGTGTTGGTGGGACTGGTTTGGAGACTGGATATGGGGGATTGGGAATGGGATACAGGGGGTCAGGATTTTATGAGCATATATATACAGGTATCTTCATTCATTTGTAATTCATCACCAGACAGAACAATGAAATGTGGGAAACATGGTAGAATGGTACTTACACAGAGGAGCCGCTCTTATCTGCAAAAAGAAATAAAGAAAAAAAAGTAGTATTATTAAAACATCTGCAATACTTTATCCTCATGATTGCATCTATTTGTCTTGTTAATGTGTATCATGTTACACAGCCATTTTAACACAAAGTAACTGGATTAAGAGCCAGAACTTCAGTTCTCTCAGAACACTCACAAATAATTTTTCGAAGCAAAAGTAACAAATATCATTATTTGAAATCCAGAGGCAGCTCAGATCTCAAGTGAAGTTATTTTTCTTCTGCTAATTGAGCTGAAATGTTATCTCCTGTCCTATTGCCCTTTGCCCCTGGTCCCCATGTAGTCCAGAAATCTGCCTTGATACCCCTATAGTCCAAGCATGGGCAAACTTAGGCTCTCCAGGTGTTTTGGACTTCAATGCCCACAATTCCTTACAGCCTACTGGATGTTAGGAATTGTGGGAATTTAAGTCCAAAACACCTGGAAGTCTGAAGTTTACCCATGCCTGGACTATAGTCCCTCTTAACTGACAACAGAAAGAACGCCTGCGACAAACTACAGAACTGTCACACTAACACTGTCACTTTTCTTCTCCTGCAAATTATTAACATCTTTGTTTAATGAAAGAGGCATTGAAGCATGTTTTATTTTTGCATTGTGGCTGGCTTATAAAGGTATTGCTCATTTATGGCTTTTGTTGTCAATATTATTTTCATAGCTTAAATGAAAAATGATATGTGAAGCCAAGATATGAAAGGAGCCATTGTTGTTTTCACTTCATTGAGATGCCAGTTTCAGCATAGTAACATCAGTGTGGTCTGCACTGGATACATAGATCTACTCCATCCCCTTGATCTAGAATCCCAACAGGATGGATAAAAGCATGTGAAATCACATTGAATAAAACTGACTTACTCATAAAAGGTAACTTATTCAAATAAAGACCCATGAAGACATACAAACAAAATGGGAGAAGAAAGAAATATACAAAGTGGGGAAATTAATATAGGAGAAGATTATGTATATCTTACCACTTTCCCTAGTGAGAAAGCTAGATATGTTAATAGATACTGAGGCCATCTCTATTTTAACATATTTGATAACAAATATGCTTGTTATCATATGTGGTTGATTCAAATATGTGTTATCATATGCAGTTGATTCAATTTGTTTAAGTTTTGTATGTATTACTTATGTTTTATGTTTAGTGAAAACATTTCGTATCCTGTACCGTTAGCTGTACTTCTGAAAATCTCTGCATAGTTGACCATCTCTCCTCCATGCTGCCAGGCCAACAAAATGTTTAAAGCAACTCTGTTGCTTGTGACAGGAAGAAAATGGAAGAAAACAATGACTCGCCCCCTAGAATGTCTCTACAGGTTTGTACTAATTGCTGTTTTGTTATCTCAGCAACACCTATATCATCAGAATAATTTTAAAAGTTGCACTTAGCAAAGCATTGCCATTATAATCAAAGATTTAATGATAAAACAACACTTTTTTATCCTTGAAAACCCTATTTCAAAATAAGTTTCAAAGGCTTGTTCTAGAATAACACTACAGAAATTGAACACAGTCCGACAATAAATCAAAATACTGAGGTTATCATATTTGGCTATCATACTCTGGACACATCATGAGATGGAATGATTCCCTGGAAAAGATTATTATGCAGGGAAGAATGGCTGACAGGAGGGGGGGAAAGAGAAAGACCATGTTACAGACTGATTGACTCAATCCAGGAATCTAGAGCTGGGTTTATGATGACTAGGACTCTTAGAGGTGTCTTATTGGTCCCTGTCTTCAAGAAGGGAAAAAAGGGTGACCCAAACAATTACTGCCCGGTCAGCCTCACGTCGATACCAGGCAAGATTCTGAAAAAGATCATTAAGGAAGTGGTCTGCAAACACTTAGAATCAAATGCGGTCATCGCTAATAGTCAACATGGATTTATCAAGAACAAGTCATGCCAGACTAATCTGATCTCTTTTTCTGATAGAGTTAGAACCTGGGTAGATGCAGGAAACGCCATGGATGTAGTGTACCTGGATTTCAGTAAGGCCTTCAACAAGGTCCCCCATGACCTTCTGGCAAACAAACTAGTCAAATGTGGGCTAGGCAAAACCATGGTTAGGTGGATCTGTAATTGGTTAAGCGAGAGAACCCAGAGGATGCTCACCAATGCTTCCTCTTAATCCTGGAAAGAAGTGATAAATGGTGTGCCGCAGGGTTCCGTCCTGGGCCTGATCCTGTTAACATCTTTATTAATGACTTAGATGAAAGGTTCGAAGGTATGATCATCAAGTTTGCAGATGGCACCAAATTGCTATTTAACAAAATCCCGAGTATATAGCTCAATTCAGTGGCCCAAAACAAAATCAAAAGGAGCAACCGCTCTCAAATGTAACAGTTCCAGGTCTGAACAAGGGTACCACTGTATATAGGCTTCAGGGATACATACAATGAGATAAATCATACACAAAGTAAGCATAGAGTCATGAGGCTATATGTATACTGAAGTCAATAATGAAGATGGAGCACCACTCTCAAAAATCTTCATGGAATAAATCCAAATTAAGTCCAGTGAAAATGGAGCACTGCTTCTCAAAATAAGTCTCTGTAGGAAAAGTCCGAATGGCATTCAACAGGGGTGCCCGGGTATTTTTGTACCCTGTTTCGGGGAAAGCAGTCCCCTTCCTCAGGAGTTGATAAATTCAGCAACTCTAGACTCTTATCTATAATAAAACTAATTATGAAATCCAATGCCACTATTAAGGAAGGAGAAACTAAAATTACTAATCTTATGGAAAACATTATGAAAGACACAACTTCTCCTACCATGCTTGAGACTCTTGACAAAAAATGTAGTGATTTATATAACCAGGTGAAGGAAGCCTCTGACACACCTTCTTTAAGACGATCTAACAGACAAAGAAATATGAACCGATCATCTTCCCGGTCTTCCTCCACTACTTTTTTTCGACGGGGCCAAAATCGAAGACGCCTGACTTGATTGTCAATCTATCCGATTACAAGTTATCAGATTTAGAAAGGTCAGTAGTAAATAAAGGTCTATCATTTGTTCCCACCCCAAAATTTAATGCATTCCGAGCACGCATAGATTTATTTAAATTGTTTAGAACCATCCGCCTAAGAGAGGTTTTCACAAACAGCATACCCAATTCCACCATAGATCCCTTCAAACCTAAAAGCAAGTTTTGCCCCTCCACAGACAGCATACATATCAAGTGCTTTGAAAAAGTAGTAGAGAGGGACTTCAATAAGTTAATCACCCACAGACAACCATTCCATTCTAATTTGTCTGACATTGAAAAAACCACTTTGAATAAACTGAGTAACCTTAAAGAGGTAGTTTGGAAACCAGCAGACAAAGGGGGAGCTATAGTGCTACTCAACAAAAAAGATTACATTAAGGAAATCAACTGCCAGTTATCTAATAGTAAATTTTATAAACCTGTTGCTACAGACCCCACTAAACACATACAGTCCCTTATTAGGGTTGTGTGCCAAGAGGGATTATCCCTGGGATTTATCTCTTCTTCCACATTTAAATATCTTCAGAAAGAATTCCCTAGAATACCAATCTTTTATACTTTACCAAAGATTCATAAAGGTGTTATTCCCCCCCCAGGCCGACCCATTATTTCAGGTTCTTCTTCAGTGTTGGAACCAGTCGCTAAGTATCTGGACTCTTTCTGCCAACCCTTTGTCCCTCTCTGTGATTCCTATATCAAAGACACTAAGCACTTCATTAATGTTATAGAAAACCTCAAAGTAGAGGAGGATAGTGTTTTAGTAACTATTGATGTCACCTCACTTTACACCAACATTCCATTAGATGAGGCCCGTACCACCATAGAGAATGTCCTCCATAACAGAACCAAGTTACATCCACCCACACATTTCCTTATGGACCTGTTGGATATAGTTTTAGAGAAAAATTATTTCCATTTTCAAAATCAATTTTACTTTCAGGTCTTTGGTGTGGCAATGGGCAGTCCATTGGCCCCCTCAATTGCCAATTTATTTATGGCAAATTTAGAGAACACTGTATTATTAAATCCATCTTTAAATATGTATCACACCAATATTATATATTATGGACGATTTATTGATGACATATTCATGGTATTTAAATCAACCGAGGCCGCAGTAGGTTTCTCTAATTGGATCAACACCATACATACGTCTATTAAGTTCACCAGCCATTTCAACCTGTCACATATTAATTTTCTGGATGTTACAGTCTATAAAGATCACAATAAACTTTTAGTCAAGAACTTTAGAAAACCCACAGATAAAAATTCTTATCTTCATTACAACAGCTTCCACCACTTTAGTTTAAAAACCAATCTTCCATTTTCACAGCTCCTCAGACTTAAACGGAACTCAAGCACCAAGGAACAGTTTATTCAGGAAAGTGTCACTTTAAGCCATGAGTTCAGAAATAGAGGCTACCCCAAACATGTAATAAGGAAAGCATTAACCAAAGCTGATAAAATAGATAGGACTACCTTACTGAAAGAATGCCCCAAACCCATAAAAAATCAAATTATTTGGACACAAGAACTATCGCACTATTCCAAACAGATTACCAGAATCATCAAAAAACACTGGCATCTTCTTCAAGATATTCCAGGTTGGCAAAAACCACCCATTTTTGGTAATAGGCGTACTAAAAACATAAGAGACTTGTTAATTCATACAGATTTAACCACTACTACTACTACACCTAAAAGCACTTTGAGAGGCCATTACCCCTGTGGACGCTGTAAATGTTGTCCGCAATCATGGAAAACTAAGGAGGTACACAACTATAGGAACAAAGTGGGCACCACATTCAAACATTTTTCCAATTGTAATAGCAGTAACCTTATCTACCTTCTAACATGTGACTGTGGTTTGTGGTATATTGGAAAAACAACCAGACCTCTGAGAATTAGAATTTCTGAACATAAATCTAGAATAAAATGTTTATCTATGGAGTCCCTTCTATATTCACACTTT